AACGAAGGCGCCGCCGACAGATTGGGGATGGCCATGCCCGCGCAAGCGCCGCGGGCAATCGCGTAAGGTGGCCAACTTATTCGGGCAATTGCCACCTGGCAGCGCTCGTCACCGGGAGCGGCGCATTTCCTCCCGAGGAACGGACCAAACTTGGCGCGCGCAGCACCGGTGGAAATGCGCCCTCGGTCGAGAGGGGCGGTGAATTTTGGTCGATGGCGGCCGCTCTGGCAAGGGGCACACAGAGCCCTGGCCCTGCCAGTTGGATTCCGGTTGGACTTCGCCATCGCCGCCGTTGCCCACTGCGGCGGCGTGGGGCGGGATTAAAGCGGCGACTGGGTTTTGTTTTGTTGTTGCTCTCCCATGCATGGGCAGCCAGGACCGCGTCCTCCGGATTGCAAACCACCCCGTCCCTGTGGTTTAGAGAAATAGCTAGGGTGGGTGGGTGGGTTGAGCGTGTTTCGTAATCCGGACGATGATGTGAAGCAGTACCTCCTCGGCAAGACAACTTGTAATGTTGATTGGGAAATCTTCTTCCGATCTGCTGTGGTGCCGTGTTGTGTTAATTATTAAACATGCACTTTTTTTTTACTTTGTGCGTATTATACATATATAGAGCTACGTCCCTTGTTTCCCGCATTTTTGCAGGAAGGGGACCACCTTGTATTTTTGTGAGGTCGGTGATTTTTTGTTCATAACTACTCCACAAAGTTAAAGCGCCTCGTAGCTTCCCACGGGCTGTCTTCGAACGATGCGGGACAATACGGTGGTGGTGAACAAAAAAAGAGATTTACATTTTTTCTTGTTGCGGTGGCAAAATATCGCTAGCGGCGATTGCCGGAAATAATTTTTTTGCGGTAAAAATGACCACGAATACATAGCAGTTGTAAAGGGAGGCACTCGGTTACATTGCAAGTTTGATTTTACCTTTCCCCCCCCCACGCCTACTCGGGAAAACGGCGTTTTTGCCGCAAATATCTTTTGATTAAAGAAACACGCGGTGTGGTTTGCTGGGTTATTTTTTCGGTCGAGTTGCATCCTGACCCCCCTTCTTCCCTCCCTTGCCACGTGACTCGCCATCTTTTGGCCATCCGTGTTTTTACTTAGTAGGGCTTTCGCGACCAATAGTTTTTGTTTGTTGGGTTAGATCCGGTAAATATCAATGAGTCGTTAAACCCGCCACCGCCTGACACGGCCAATTAGTAAGAGGATTGTTACGTTACACAAAACGTGCCAATTGGTTACTAGTTCAGCACTAACCGGTGGTGTGTTGGAGAGTAAAGCCACTGGAATGGTGTTAGTGCGTCACTTCACACATCCTGCGGATTGTATGGGGGCACTATTAACCCCTCCCTCCCCCCCGCAAAAGTTGGGGATGCGTCAAATAATTAGAGTTTGAGTCCCGCTCACGACCAGTAGCAAAACCTGAACTGGTCCTGGGCCTCTGCTAGGTCGACTCAGCCTTAAACGAGTGGTGTGTAAAAACATCGGCACTGGGGGAGAATGGTAATGTGGTGGATTCACTCTCCCAACACTCGATCGGTGAGTGCTGAACTGGTCACTAATTGGCACGTCTTGTTTACGTTACAGACCCTTTCTAGTTGGCTATGTCGGGTGGTGGCGCGGTTTAGCGACACATTTATATCGACGAGTTCTAACCCAACAAAAAAATACCTCCATTACGTCCCCGTTTGCATCGGGCCGTTTGTTTCTTCCTGGGAACCTGCGTGGCTTTTTTGGGGTTGATGTTTCCCCTGCGAAGATTTTGACCGGGAAATGTTTTGAAATGCTAGATTTGAAGCTTTCGTGACTGCAAGGATTCATACTCTTAGGTTTTTTCGGTAAAGTCACGTCGGTAAAAAATAATAATAAAATAATAATAAATGAAAATAACTCAATTAAATCACGATGTTTAGGAGGCAACACAAGTCTCCGTCTTCAGGTGGGACCGTCACAGCTAAATCTACTTGGGTTTCTCTTCACTTGATACAGTAAATTTAGCTGTGACGGTCCCACCTGAAGACGGAGACTTGCGTTGCCTCCGAAACGTGATTAATTGAGTTTTTATTTATTTGACCTACGTGACTTTACCGAAAAAACCTAAGAGTTTTGAAATGCCTTGCGTTGGGTTTTTTTGTGTGGGGTGGGGGTTGGGGGGGAGACACGGGTGGGGGAAAAAATTGTCGATATCCCAACGATGGGAGTTTTTTTGTTTAAAAAAACCACGTTTGTGAACGTTAAATTAAAACAGGCTTGTTCGTTGGCTAATGCATCACCCCGAGTGCGTTTGCGTCACTTAACGCATCCTGCGAATTGTATGGGGCGCTATTACGGCCACCCCATATTTTCTAAGCGATAGTTTCGGGGATACGTCAAATAACCCAAAGTTCGATTCCCAACACCGGTCAAATGAGCGGCGTGTGAAAACATCGGCACTGGGGAGACAAAGGCGGCCGGCCGTGCTGCTGGCCACAGCACTTGCCCAGCAGTCTGCTCGAGGCTGCACGGGACATCTTTTGGGTGACCGGTTGGGGTTTGGCCCATGGATCCCAGGCCAGGGGTTCTTAATCCTTTTTTTGTGGGGGTTTTACCAGAGGCGGCTTCATTTTCACGGTTCCCATTTATGTAAATTGGAATTAAATTCTATTTACGTGCCGAAATCTGTGTGAATCGCCTGTCATATCGTGGCAACTATTCTAGCAATGAAAATGAATAATTTAGGATGAAGGCCATTCATAAAAATGACAGTCGGGGTCAACTTTAATCTGACTTACAAATATTTCCATGAATGGGAATGGTTAAATGATTGAGGTGCTACCCGACCCGGCGTGACTTCTTCACCTGGTAAGCTAAAACAAATAATAGTTCGGTTTCATTTGTCGATATTTATTTAAAGTAATTTAACTTGGCTATAATTTGCGCCCCTATCAGTTTTTTTTGTATTTTGTGTTGTAAGGATTTGACCCCGTGCCGCCTTACTGAACAGCTGTGTGGGGGGGGGGTGGAAAAAAAGAGCTTTATATCTCGTGGGTGAGTCTCCAGTATAAATAATAAAAGATTATTAACTTCTGCCGGGGCCTAGTTGCCCGGGTCAGCGCCTCTCGCTCGCCTGGCGGTCTCCATGGCGACGCGGGTCTCGTCACGCGGTGAGCGCGTGGCAGGCGGGGGGGGGGGCGCGGGGGTGTGGGGGGAGGGGCGCGGGGGGTGTGGGGGGAGGGGCCAGGGGGGTGTGGGGGGGGGGCACCCGTGGACTTTGAGCCCCATTCGGATGACCGCTTCCATCGCCACAACCACCACAACAACCACAACAACCATTAACAACAATTATAACCATTTACAACGGTACCTTTAAAACAAAAATAGCAACTATCAACTGCAATGGTTCTAACTATGAAAATAACCACACGCAAAAAAATATCAACCCAGCATCGCCACAACAGAAATCGCAACAACCATTAATTCACTTTTTAAAAATATAAATTTTATTTTACCAGGTAAGTGCCACTCGACTACGGGCGTCTCTTTTCTCAGAAGCGATCTGCCCATCACAAGCGATGGCTCCAACCACGTGGGCTGATCACGTGGAAATTCAGATCGGACAAATTCAGGCATCGTCAGGGTTGGGGATGGAACCCACGACCTCCTGTAGACCAGGCGAGGCAGTCAACATCGGGTAACCCTCAACACCTTACAACGACCCATCCCAACAACCACAGCTACCCACAGACACCATCAACCACCCCACCTAAACAACCACAACAACCACACCGTACACCCAGCACGCAAGCGTCAACTCTGTGTCGTCTCTTGTACCTGAGCGTACACACACACATTTCAGTTTCATCCAGGAAAAAACAGCAAAGTCTTCCAGAAAAAGCCACCGCGTTTCAACGCTGCGTGCACAAACCTCAGTGGGATGCAAGTCGAACAATAACAACCATAAGACAATTTAGATTAAAGTTATCGGGCTAACTGTACTACAACAAACACACATGGCTACACCAAAACGTTTTAAAAATCACCAAAGTATAGGGATAGAAACAATGTAACGCTACGAACCCGGCGACCCGAGTTCGGTTTCAGCTCACGGCGAGTGTCTGCACCGGTTATGGGCCTCCCCTAGGTCGACTCGGCCTCAAATTAGAACCTAGTGCGGTGTGTGTGTGTAAAACATCGACCATTGGGGAGACAAAGGCGGCCGGGCGTGGTGCTGGCCACCCACCCCCTCGTGTGCCGTGCCGGCCTTCATAGGTGCTCGCTAACAGCACTTGCCCCAACAGTCTGTTACAGGCTACACGGGGGATCTTTGTTGTTGTTTGTAGTATACACACATCCAGAACATCCCCCGACCGCCCTAGAGATCTTGTCAACTGCTCACACAGAGAGAGATAGCTGCCTAGTGATATGGCTGCAATAGTAAAACAAAAATTCAAAAAATCCTTTCTTTGGAGTCACCCGAGGTGTTTCATCGACAAGGAAACTCAACTTTGAATTGTACCAAGTAAGACCGCACTGAGCCACTTAAACATTTTTTTATCAGAAGAGACCTGGAACATCGCAAATGATGTCTCAAACGAGTGGAATAATCATCATCAGGTGGAAAATTGGCAGCAGCAGCAGCAAAATACTCGAAACGCGCGTGACATTTAATTCTAAATGTGATAATGGGCTTTCGCCCGGTTAACATAAAGGCAACATCACGATCAACAACAACAACAGCAGCAGCAACAACAACCACAGCCACTATCACCAGGAGGTGTAGCAAGTTTAAAGTTGCATTGATTAGGTTTAGCCCTGTGACCAATGTGGCAACAACAAAATATGAACACAGGACATCCTAAAGCGACGACGCGCAACAGAAACATCCTGAAATAAACCAGCAAATATTCCGCTCGGCACTGGGGGATTGGATGGGCTCAGAGTGAGAGAGAGAAAGGGGTCAGGGAGAGGGAGGGGGAGGGGTCACGGAAGGGAGGGATCCTCATGGAACAGCGAGAGAGAGAGAGAGAAGTGGAGGTTTTGCAGCTGGGAGCTGAGCCCATTCCGCCTCTGCTGCCCAGCCGAGCACCCAACCCTGGCCTGCCCTTCCCCATCGCTGCCCCGTGGGAGAGATAATGGCTCAGCTACTGCCCTTCGTCGTTGCCCTGTTCTTCAGGACGTGTGTGGCCGAACTTCAGAGGGGTAAGCAAGCAACAGCGTTCCGCTCCTGCGAATGCCTCCTCCCCCCCCCCAAAAAAATACTTATCGTACGTGGCCTTAATAGGTGCTCGCTAACATTCCCCCCACCTACACACCACACTACTATACACTACACTATACACTACTATATACTACACTATACACTACTATACACTACACTATACACTACTATATACTACACTATACACTACTATACACTACACTATACACTACTATACACTATACACTACTATATACTACACTATACACTACTATACACTACACTATACACTACTATACACTACACTACTATACACTACACTATACACTACTATACACCACACTACTATACACTACACTATACACTACTATACACTACACTACTATACACTACACTATACACTACTATACACTACACTATACACTACTATACACTACACTACTATACACTACACTATACACTACTAACGCTAAATTTCGATTTAAAGCTTTCGTGACTGCAGGGATTCATCTTCTTGGTTCTTTCGGTAAAGTCACGTAGAAAGGAAATAATAAAATAATAAAAAATTAAACATTAAATTGCTTTTATTATGTTTTACTTTTATTATTTTATTTATTAGTATTATGTTTTATTTATATTATTTTAATATGTCCTTTCTACGTGACTTTACTATACACTACTATACACTACACTATACACTACTATACACTAAATTTCGATTTAAAGCTTTCGTGACTGCAGGGATTCATCTTCTTGGTTCTTTCGGTAAAGTCACGTAGAAAGGAAATAATAAAATAATAAAAAATTCAACATTAAATTGCTTTTAATATGTTTTACTTTTATTATTTTATTTATTAGTATTATGTTTTATTTATATTATTTTAATATGTCCTTTCTACGTGACTTTACTATACACTACTATACACTACACTATACACTACTATATACTACACTATACACTACTATACACTACACTATACACTACTATACACTACACTATACACTACACTACTACAGTATACACTACACCTTTTATTAGCACGGTTGGCTACGTACGGTGCGAAATAAATTAAAACACACACACATACTTACGTCTTTGTTTTGTCCATTTGTGTTCATTGTTCTTCGCCCGTATGTCAAAGCAACATGTGTGTGGTGTGTGTGGTGTGTGTGGGGAGGGAGACGGTGCGTCTTATAATCCGGTATGTGCGCGTACTTGTGTGCGTGGCCAGATTTGCATTCAGTTATAATTCCAAACTCGATTCGGAGCTTTCGTGACCGCAGGAATTATTACTCTGTGGTTCCATTGGAACCTCATGCATTGTCTTTGAGTTGTGCGCCTTTTGGCGTCATCTGGTCCAACACCATGTGAGACTGGGCTCTAAGGAAAGCTGTCTCGGGTGTGGACCAATCAACTTCAATGACAGTTCACATCATTATCAGAGTTGTGTGTTTTGTTTGCATTATGACTGCAGGTATTGTGGTCTATGACTCCTTGTAAAAAAGGTGTCAGTTTTAGTTGCCAGATAAAAGGGTAAAAAAACACTTATTATACTCTTTGGTTCTTTCGGTTAAAGTCACGTAAAATAGTAAAATCAAATAATAGAGCACGACGTTTCGGTTGCAACACAAACAGCCATCATCAGGTAAGGATGATGAAACGCAGACACGGAGACAACATAGGCAGACACACATGCAGAGAGAGACACACAAAGACACACACCGAGACAAACGTGTTGGTGTGTGTCTCGCTCGTCTTTGTGTGTGTGTCTCTCTGGTCTCTGCCTATGCTGTTCCACGCGTCTGCGTTTCATCATTCATCCTTACCTGATGATGGTTGCCTGTGTCGCCTCCGAAACGTCGTGATTTAATTGAGTTTTTTTCATTCATTTATTTTTCACCTACGTTAATTTAGTTGTTTTTTTCCATGTATTTATGTATGTCTCACCTACGCGACTTTACCGGTAAAACCAAAGAGGATGAATCCTTGCAGTCACGAAAACTTCAAATCTAGAATCGTCTAATTATGATTCGGAAAACGTGTTCACGAGCTACGCACCTCGTGCAAATGGCCAAGCGATGATCGCCACGCTCCTTCTCTGACCACGATCGCAGTTTAGCAAACACGGGGAGAAGTTTAGCGAGAGGGGGGGGTGTGATCTCAATCGAGTGGCGGGGAGCACACACAGAGCGAGTGAGCTGGGGGTAAACACTCTCCACTCAGCGCTGCAGCTCAAGCGTCAAGCACTCTGCGGATTTCATAGAAGCCCTTATAAAGGTGGCATAGCAATACACTTTGTAACACAGCTTTTTATTTGCTTATGCTTCAAAAGTACATAAAATGGATGTTATTCCCCACAAACTTTGATTTTGTGAACAGGACTTTATGTGAACGAAAGACACGAATTCGCCCGTTTTCTCAGTGAAAATAGGTACATTTCAAAATATCAAAGTCCTGATCTTTATTTTGTTTTATTTTTATTAATTTTGATGTTTTACCTACGTGACTTTACCGAAAAAACCTAAGAACACAAAAGCAAAGTTGGGAATAATAGCCACTTTATGTACTTTTGAGGCATAAGCAATTAGGAAATAACACTTACTACCCAGGACCAAATAAATATTTTTTGTTACACAGTTTAATGTAACCCAACAGTGTGGAGTCGGGCTGAATGATTAATCGATTTCAAATCGAAATCGCAATTTGAAACGATGCGATTAGCAAATTGCAAAGGCTGTGATTCTTTTGCGATTTGAAAAGTCCTATTACTTTCTTATTGGAATTGTTTTATTTCTTTGTAATTATAACTTTATTTATTTAACTTAACAATCGTTCTGTTTGATTGTTCTATTTCAATAAATAATTGTAATAAATACACGTTGGAAGTAATTCATATATTTTAAGTTCTCATCCTTGCATTAGAATATATAGAGCAGTTCATATATTTGATGGTATCACGTGGTAATGCTCCATCACATGTTATAAATCTATTACACAGCGAATATTGAACTGAAGCTCGACTTAAAAACATTTAATCGCGAATCAAACCGCAATCGTAATATTTTCCCCAAATCGTTCAGCCCGAGTGGAGAGGCGTCAGCAGCAGCAGCAGCAGCAGAGAGGGTTGGTGCAGCACTTCACGCACAGATGTTGTTGTGAAACTCCCATCCCGTGGGCGACAAGAAGGAGCCGTGCCTTGGCTAGGAGATGTTGACTACCTCGCCTGGTGTACAGAAGGTCGTGGGTTCGATCCCGACCCTGATGCCTGCTGCTGTATATTTGTAGTCTGCGTGTCTCTCTCATCACCATCACGGTGGCTATGAGATGTTAACTACCTCGCCTGGTGTACAGGAGGTCGTGGGTTCGATCCCGACCCTGATGCCTGCTGCTGTATATTTGTAGTCTGCGTGTCTCTCTCATCACCATCACGGTGGCTAGGAGATGTTGACTACCTCGCCTGGTGTACAGGAGGTCGTGGGTTCGATGCCGACCCTGATACCTGCTGCATATTTGGAGTCTGCGTCTCTCTCATCATCATCACGGTGGCTATGAGATGTTGACTACCTCGCCTGGTGTACAGGAGGTCGTGGGTTCGATCCCGACCCTGATGCCTGCTGCATGTTTGGAGATTGCGTCTCTCTCATCATCATCACGGTGGCTAGGAGATGTTGACTACCTTGCCTGGTGTACAGGAGGTCGTGGGTTCGATCCCGACCCTGATACCTGCTGAATATTTGGAGTCTGCGTCTCTCTCATCATCATCACGGTGGCTATGAGATGTTAACTACCTCGCCTGGTGTACAGGAAGTTCGTGGGTTCGATCCCGACCCTGATACCTGTTGTATATTTAGAATCAACTGTGTATTTGACTACGGCTATAAATGGCCACGCGATGAGCTGTCGTTTGTGATGCTTCTGCAAAAAAAAGCTACATCGCTCATTGGGCCTTCACCTGTTTAAAACATGTTTGTGTGTGTGTAGATATAGCAAGGCCGTAGCCATGGCGTCTACATCGGGGGGATCAAATCATCCAGGGGGTCTGGGGCCCCCCCCAGAAAAAAAATCTAAATTTGAAAACGAATTTGCTGCATAAAATATTTTTTTAAAATCACTAACACATGGGATGGACTTTTTATTTATTTTTTACTTTTTTTTGCTTCATTGTAATGTAATAGCAGAGATTAGGGATTAATAAAGTACAACCATACCCACAATCATATAAACATAAATCTATTTTATAGCGATATATTGAGGGGGGGTGGGGGATATTTTGAGCATATTTGAACATTGGTGGGGGGATGTCCCCCCCCAATATATATTCTAATGACGGCCTTGGTGTATAGACACTCGATATTTTTGCTTGACACGTCCCATCGTCTGCCCGGCCTCCCGCGCGCAACGGGCGAGCCAACGAGCAAACACCGAAGGAAGCGAAAACGAATTTGTGTGAATCTGCGCGCTCGTGAAACTTTCAGACGAGGCCGAGGAGACGGAGCCGCGTGCGCCGAGCCGCGTGCTCGCGCCGTGGCTGCAAGGCCTCGTGGCAGTCATCGGGTTCCTCTTCCTCGTCTTCGTCATCTTCGTCGTCAACAAAGTGTGGTGCGCCGACCACGGGTCAGTCACACCAAGACGATGGCGCCGGCCATGAGTGACGTCACGCGATTGACCCCTCCCCCCCTCCTCAAATGTGACGTCACAAAGCTCTGCCCCCTGCCTCCCTCCCCCCCGAAACCATATTTCCATTTTGAAAATGAAACGCGCTGCGAATGGCTTTAAACTATTGCCATTGTAGTGCGTATTTAATGTGGCGCTGCACTCTGATGTTGTAGGAGTGTTGTTATAAACAATTAGTGTTGCTATAACAATTCTATATTTATTTAAAGTTGCGCATTTTGATGTGACGTCACATTTCTCAAACCCTCCCCCCCCCGCTCGTCACACATCGTCACAAATGTCTGACTCCCCCCCCAGGTGCGTGACGTCATTTATGGACGGCCCCAAAGATTCGCCCCCCCCCCGTGTAGCCTGGGGCAAGTGCTGTTAGCGAGCAGCACCTATGAAGGCTGGAACGGTAGACGAGGGGGTGGGTGGCCAGCACCACGCCCGACCGCCTTTGTCTCCCCAGTGGCGATGTTTACTACACCCCGCACAACACACACACACTCGCCCCCAAGGGTTCGTGGGTTCGATCCCGACCCCTGACGCCTGCTACTGCTGTATATTTTGAGTTTGCATCTCTCTCATTATCATCATCACGGTGACGAGGAAATGTTGACTACATCGCCTGGTCTACAGGAGGTCGTGGGTTCGATCCCGACCCTGATAATGCCTGCTGTATATTTGGAGTTTGTGTGTCTCTCATCGTCATCATCATCACGGTGACGAGGAGATGTTGACTACCTCGCCTGGTATACAGGAGGTCGTGGGTTCGATCCCGACCCCTGACGCCTGCTGCTGTATATTTGTAGTTTGCGTCTCTCTCATCATCATCATCATCACGGTGATGAGGAGATGTTGACTACCTCGCCTGGTATGCAGAAAGACGTGGGTTCTATCCCGACCCTGATGCCTGCCTGTTTGGAGATTGCGTGTCCTCCCCTAGTGGAGTGTATCGTGTTTAACTCCGGAGAAATGCGTCTTGTGCGACGGGACAATTCTGCCGATGAGACGCGCTGATTAACTTGTCGAATCTGGGGAATCGGTGCTCGGCACTGGCGGAACAAGGGGGGTGGGGGGGGTGGCACGCGCCCCTCCCCTCCCCCCCAATGATCGCATCATTGGGGTTTATTAGTATAAATCAGCATTTTGCGACCCCCACTGCCACTGTGTAGCATATTATGTGCCAGGGACACTGTGAGATGATCGGACAATAGTCTGAGTCTATAATTAGCAATAAGTAAGGGCAAAGCGGTTATAAGCGACTCAGAATTGTGCGCAGTTGCGTGTCCAGTCCACGACTTCCCTGGAGGCGTCAGCAGCTGCAGCGAGCGCGATGCCGATCACACGACGCGGTTCCAATTCCACCCTCGGTCGATGGCCGCGCCATCGCCGCACACGCGTCGAATGAAAATCAAGGGACAAGTCGTCACTCACTAACAACTCCTCCATCATTTCTCATTGCTGGAGGGGCTGCCCCCAATCCTCTACCTGACAATCCTGGCTCCGCCATGGGTGCTCAGTTTTTTTTAAGTTTTCAGTTCTATGTAGTAGGTATAGCCCTGTGAGCCATTCGGTTCTTGAATCGGGTGCAACCGCAACAAACAAACACGAAAACAATAACATGAAAACATCTTAAAGTGAATTTTGATTTTAAGCTTTCGTGACTGCAGGGATTCATATTCTTGGTTCTTTCGGTAAAGTCACGTAGAAGGGACATAATAAAATAATATAAATATAAAACAATACAAATTCTCACGACGTTTCGACTGCAACACAAGCAATCATCATCAGGTGTGAAATTAACAGACAGAAAATTTGGAAAAAATAAAAAAAATCTTGCTGTGGATTTCACACCTGATGATGATTGCTTGTGTTGCAGTCGAAACGTCGTGAGAATTTTTATTATTTTATATTAATATTAGTTTATTATTTTCCTTCTACGTGACTTTACCGAAAGAACCAAGACTATCTTAAAGTGACAAACAGAAAAATCGGGATCGTGACGCGAAACGGAAGCACGGACGGCTGACGAAGCAGCGGGGGTTTTGTTGTTCTGGTTGTTGTTGCTGTTGTTGTTGTTGTTGCTGTTGTTGTTGTTGCTGCTATTGTTGTTTTCGCTGCAGGGAAGATGTGTACGCAGACGTGGTGGCGGATGTAGCGGTGGAGGTGGCGGTGGAGGGGACGGCTCGTCGGCACGCTGAGCAAAACAGCACCAGCAACGAGTAAGAAACGCGTAGACACCCAGAGACTCACGTAGCAACCCATAGACTTGGATAGGGGCCCACCAACTCACAAATAAACCCATGGGCTCACATAGAAACCCATAGACTTGGATAGGGGTCCACTAACTCCCATATAAACCCATGGGCTCACATAGAAACCCATAGACTTGGATATGGGCCCACCAGCTCACATATAAACCCATGGGCTCACATATAAACCCATAGACTTGCATCGGGGCCCACCAACTCACATATAAACCCAGCATAAATGTGAACCAGTTTCAACTTCTCTGAGACTCACCAAGCAGCAGCACGTGCTGCTGGGTCGGCCCAGTGGTGCTCTTATAGGGAAATGAACCTCATGGCGGTACCCCGGCTCTCGCATAATGTCCGTGATGCAGTCACTGTTAGTCTGTTGATGGTCGGCGATGCGGCAATCGATTCATCTCGACGAGCTGTACACTACGATGCACCGCTACGGTGCGTACCAGCGAGCGTTCGTGGTTTCGGCGCAATCGTGCACGCTGCGTTTCGACATCGCGGAGTGTGGCACCGATGTCGGGATTGATTGGTACCCGAGTCGTGGAGTTGAGTAACACCCCTGGGGAAAAAAATGGTGTCCCAGAAATAACATATTTAATTGCCTCGGCCATTTTGTATTGTGTGGATCAAATGCCATCCACAGAGGGCATCTGGCCCCTTCAGTGTAGGACAGCAACAAGGTTAAGTGTCGGTCCCAGCCCCGTCCCCTGGGTGATGTTTAACCCAGGATCACGACAAGAGGGCAGAGTCAACAAATGAATGATGGATTCCGCGTGGGCTCGCGATTAATGGTGAATAATTGTCCCACCTGTTGTTTGCCACGCAACACAATCATTAGCGCCACCGTGGGGAGTTTGAGCTACAACATGAGGCACCTGGGGGGGGGGGGGGGTCAGTCATTGGTGACGATGTGTGATGAGGGGGGGGGGGGTCAGTCATTGGTGACGATGTGTGATGAGGGGGGGGGGGGTGAGAAATGTGACGTCACATCAAAATGCGCAACTTTAAATATAGACAACACGTTATACTTAGTTAAATAGACTTTTTACTAAATGTTTTCTCCTACAACATCAGAGTGCAGCGCCACATTAAATACGCACTACAATGACAATAGTTGAAAGCGATTTGAAGCATGTTTTATTTTGGGGGGGTCTGACTTTTTGTGATGCCGTGTGACGAGGGGGGGGGGGGTCAAAAATCGTCCCAAATCGCGTGACGTCATTTATGGACGGCCCCAACTCAACAGCCCCACGGCATTCTGGGAGTGCATCATTTTAGCATTAAACGAGCACCCAGTGCGATGTGGGAACATCGGTCAGGGTCAGGGGTCATTAACATGCGGCTCTTCAAGGAACTGCTTGGTGACTTCATTAAGAATCGTCTCGAAATCTGATACATTGCGGCTCTTGAAATACAGATTTTTTTTTACCGAATTTGTTTGCTCAACCCCTGGACTGGGGAGACAAAGGCGGCCGGGCGTGGCGCTGGCCACCCACCCCCTCGTGCGCCGTGCCGGCCTTCATAGGTGCTGCTCCTCGCGAACAGCACTTGCCCAGCAGTCCGTCAAGGCTACACGGGGGATCTTTGTCTTTGTGTTCGCAGCGTCGGGCAGCACAAGGCTTTTGAGAACGCGACGCTGGAGAACGAGGAGGAAAACGTCGGATCAGCGGAGACTACCAGCACGGCTTTCTAAAGACTCACCACACGCAGTCACGCACCACACGCACACACACGTACACACACGTACATTGCATAGTTTCAACTTGCAGACGCATACAGGGATTCATTGAAGTTGGGTCTGTCCAGGTGTGTAATAAACCTGTGCTGTGCCCGGCACACAACGTCGAGGGTGCCGCTCGCTATGGCAGCAGCTACGAGACCGCTTACCGCACACGCTGGGAAAACACTGAGTGAGAAACGAAGCCCTCTATGTATGCACACACACACAACACGTGAACCCTGACATGCGTGTGCACTTACACACGTGCGCACACACCACTAACACGCGTGTACACCTAGGCGCACATACACACACACAACACGTGAACCCTGACATGCGTGTGCACTTACACACGTGCGCACACACCACTAACACGCGTGTACACCTGGGCGCACACACACACACGTGCACATCTACACACGTGCACATGGCAAGCGCACACTTCGACTCGCCGTGGCCTGATTTCACGCGTTCCCATCGTCCTCGGTTCGTCCGGCTCTACAAGACGCGGTCCTCAACCTGTGACCGCTGTCAACGAGGTCACACAAAGCTGCTGCTGCCACACGCAAAAGACAAAGATCCCCCCTGTAGCCTCTAACAGACTGTTGGGGCAAGTGCTGCGAGCACCTACGAAGGCCGGCACGGTGACACAAGCGGGCGAGTTGCCAGCAGCACGCCCGGCCGCCTTTGTCTCTCCGTCTTACACACCGCACCAGGGAGCTCGTTTGAGGCCGAGTCGACCTAGGGGAGGTACAGGTCTGATTCAAATATCCCACACCGTTGTTGGTCGCGAGCGGCGATCGGAGCCGGGTCGCCGGGTTCTTAGCGGGGTGCGCTAACCGCTGCACCACCGCTCCCCACCACTGTCCCTCGGATTATGAGAATGCTGGGTACGAGCACATCGATTGTGAGGGTCAAGAGTAGCACGTGCTCCGAGCGTTCGTGCCTGAGGCCGATAATCACGACTCCAGGGGCAAGGGAAGCGGGCGGCCGCGTTTATTGTCACGGTGAGAACACACGGCGGTAATAACCAGGGCGGCCACTGGATCCGAGCAGCGTCAGAGCGCTCGTCATTGGGGTAATGCCGATGTGCGCTCACGCCGGTTCTTGACAAAGGGGCCGTCCATAAATGACGTCATGTGACGATGTGTGACGAGTAGGGGGGGGGGGGTTGAGGAATGTGACGTCACATAAAAATGCGCAACTTTAAATATAGAAATGTCATAACAACACTAACTGTTATAACAACACTCCTACAACATCAGAGTGCAGCGCCACATGAAATACGCACTACAATGGCAATAGTTCAAAGCGATTTGAAGCGTGTTTTATTTTCAAAATGGAAATATGGTTTTAATTTGGGGGGGGGGGGCAGAGCTTTGTGACGTCATTTGAGGAGGGGTCTGACTTTTTGTGACGCCGTGTGACGAGGGGGGGGGGTAAAAAATCGTCCAAAATCTCGTGACGTCATTTATGTGCGGCCCCACAAGGAGGATGCCGACATATCTGTAGTGCTTTGCGAGTGTTGATGTTGATGTTGTTGTCCCGTCGTGCGTGCCTCTTCTCCGCAAACTCGCGTTGCCTTTCACGAGAAAACATTCGTCGAGGAATCGGTTGAAACGACCCCTCTTGAAAACAAAAGTAAATCGTCTTTAGACTCGGTGAGGCTTTCCTGAATAAACGACTCTTGACGCTTTCTCCCGACTGGGTGTCGTACAAGGCAGCACACGTACGTGTACGTATGTTCAACTTCTTTCGCATAGTACGTAGCCAACCGTGCGAGTCCTGCCGGTGGGCGCGTTGTGACGTTTCGTCGGGCGCACCAACAGACACGCACACGATGGACGCAAACGCGTTTGGCTTTTCGTACCGCGCGCCAATTCGTGCCGAGCATCCCCCGGTGCGCTTTGCAACAACAACAACAAAAGAAACTTTGACGAGTCGTAAAATAAAAAAATCCACTGCCAAATTTAATCCGGACCGGAGGAAATAAAGGCAACTCCCCCCCCAACAAAATGCGTTCGTTACAGCCGACTGCCGAAGGTGTCACCGATTGGAGAGCAGCACCATTCAGACAACAAGCTCCAACGTGTTCTTCCAAAACACGACCACGTGTCTCCCGACCACGCGTCCCCCGACCACGTGGCAGGAGAAACCGCCGCTTGGCCCGTCGGCGTCGCGATGCTTGAGAATGTAAAATCGGATCTCCCGCGGATATCACAGAGCTACAACCGAGATCGCTCCTTGTTCACACACACAAACGGTAGATGCCTCAAACATTTTTAAGCACGGAGGCGATTTCTCCTGGGAGGGAGGGGGAAGGGTGGTTCTGCGGGTAACGGGCAAAATCGCAGATACCCGGAGGGCGTACAACAGGAGGCGCTGGCCCACAAAGCAAAGCTGGGCCTTGTGCCGGAGCGATGGGGAATAGTGGATGGAGGACGAGGAGGATGCCACCCTCTCAAGCTTCAACCTCGAGTTGGAAAGAGTTAGAAAAAATATATAGACGCCATCGTGGTCGCACCCAGATGGCGTGGAAATCCCTTGAACGCGGCGCCGGCCGCAAGACTTTCCACCGGCGATTCACGAGTCACTGCGGCCGATTTCTGGGTAGTTATTAAGTTCAGGAAGCGGCTACGTCGCGTGCCGTCTTCACCACAGCACCGGTACCGGTGTTGTCCGCTTCCGTTTGGCCCGGGCGTAACCGCGAGCGGAGGTCCGGTTACAAGTAGGGCACACAGCATGGGACACACAGCCTGAGTACGAAGGCCACAAAGTATAGGAGCCATTTACATGGGAGGCATGTGACTTCATTTCGAGTTGCATTTCCATGAATGTGCTATAGTAACCACTGTAAACTAAAAATTAACACTTTCCTGCGGAGGGAGCTGGTAGGAACGTTGGGTTGCTCGGTCAATGAGGGTCAACGGCGGCGTGGTGTATTCCGCAAATATGCCCGACTGTGAGGGCGGGCACAAGCCGGCGTGAGTAGGTGAAACGTTGAGTTTTATAAGGGCACCACGGGGTGACCAGCCCCTCCCCACCCAGCCCCACCCTTCCCACCCCCCACCCAGCCCCACCCTTCCCACCCAGCCCCTCCCCACCCTCCCCTCCCCACCCAGCCCCTCCCTGCACAACGGACGGACGGACGCAATAATCCCCTGTGGGCTGGTGTAACCAGGAGGTTCCTACCAGTATAAAAAACATATCACTTCAGGTATTTAAATTATGTTATCGGCCAAGATGCCCCATCGTAGGAATTCCGTGTCAGAATTGTCCCTGCCGCGGAGCTCCGCGTCAGGGCGGTGTCCCCATGGCGGAGCTCCGTGGAGCGTGCCTAGCGCATGGTGACGAGCTCCTCGGAGGAGGTGGGGTGGATGGCGACGGTGCGGTCGAAGTCGGCCTTGGTGGCGCCGCAGCGAAGGGCCACAGAGAAGCCCTGCAGCATCTCGTCGCAGCCGGCGCCCTGCATGTGAATCCCCACCACCTGCGCCGCACGCAAAGACAAAGATCACCCGCGTAGCCTTAACAAACTGTTGGGGCAAGTGCTGTTAGCGAGCACCTACGGAGGCCGGCACGGCTCACGAGGGGGTGGGTGGCCAGCGCCACGCCCGGCCGCCTTTGTCTCCCTAGTGGTCGACGTTTACACATCGCACCAGGTACTCGTTTGAGGCTGAGTCCACCTAGGGGAGGCGCAGGTCCGGTTCAGATAATCGTCACTGGTGTTGGTGGGCCATGCGAGTGGGAATCGAACTCGGGTCGCCGGGTTCGTAGTGCACCACAAGGCTGCTGATCGCTGTGCGACCGCTCTACCCAGGCCACTCGTACAACAACAACCACAACCACCATACACCATTGGAACCTCATTTGCCAGTAAAAAATATGATAATTGGTGTTTTACCCTTCTATCTGGCAACAAAACTGACACCTTTTTTACAAGGAGTCATATTTGCATAGACCACAATACCTGCAGTCATAATGCAAACAAAAAAGCATAACTCTGATAATGTGTGCACTGTCCTTGAAGTTGATTGGTCCACACCCGAGACAGCTTTCCTTAGAGCCTAGTCTCACATGGCTTGGACCAGATGCGCCTTTTGGCGTCTATGCAAACATGACTCCTTGTAAAAAAGGTTTCAGTTTAGTTGCCAGATAGAAGGGTAATAGAACAATTATCATATTTTTACTGGCAAATGAGGTTGCAATGGTGGTTGTTGTTGTTGATGTGAAACTTTCTTGTTGCCAGATAGAAGGGTAAAAAACCAATGATCAACAACAACCACCACCGTTCACCCCTTCAGTGGCATAGACGTCACCACGGCGCGTGCGCGCGCACACCCACCTTCTCGTCGTCGTGCGCGCACACCAACTTCATGACGCACGTGCCCTTGCGCGCCGTCACCGCGTGGTACATGGGCGTGAACGTGGCGGTGTACGCGCGCACCGCGCCGCGCCCGAACCGCTCTTCGGCCTCTCGCTGCGTGAGGCCCACGGCGCCGATTGGCGGGTGGCTGAACACCACCGAGGGGATGTCCTCATAGTGCATCCGGGCGCCGGGCTCGCCGCCAAAGAGACGCGCCGCCAGCTTCCTGCCGGCCATGATGGCGACAGGGGTGAGCAGCGCGCGCCCGCACACGTCGCCCAGCGCGTACACGCCGGCAACGCTCGTGTTCTGGAACTCGTCCACGGTGACGTGGCCCTGCTGGTCAGTTTCGACCCCCTGCGACGGGAGACGAGAGGGAGGGAGGGAGGGAGTGCGATTTGTCACGGGTTTTTGTTTTACCCCCTCTCCCCCGTCCGCATTTAGTTATTTAGATTGTGTGGCTGCTTTCGGTTGAGCTATGATTTGTGGCCGGGTTGCGTCTGCAAAAAAGAAGCTAATAACTCGGTGGGCTTTACCTGGTAAAATAAAATAGTTTAAATTTTGATTTAAAGCTTTCATGACTGCAGGGATTCATATTCTTGGTTCTTTCGGTAAAGTCACGTAGAAGGGAAATAATAAAATAATAAAACAATAAAATGCTTACGACAAACCACAGCAAGAAAATGTTTGAAGAAAGTGGTGGTTTTTGGTGCTGACGTTAAGAAAAAAAGCCACTTTTTCAAATTTTCTTGCTGTGGTTTTCACACCTGATGATGATTGCTTGTGTTGCAGTCGAAACGTCGTGAGAATTTTATTGTTTTATATTTTTATTATTTTATTGTTTCCCTTCTACGTGACTTTACCGAAAGAACCAAGAAAATAAAATAGTTTAGTTTTATTTGTACCAATTTTTGGTGAATTGCTTCCCTTTTCGTATACTTTTCACTCCTACCGAGTTGTTGTTTTGTTTGTTGTTGTAACGTTCTGACCTGCCCCTCCTCGACATTTGTCAACAAAAAGAGCTTTATAGCTCATCGGATTCCTCCAGTACGAATATTCGTATTTTTATATCGCTGCTGTTACCGACTACGGGGCCTTAGGTCACACCCAGGAAGGCCTCGCCTCGTCTCACTCTTCGTCAAGTTCTCCCATGGAGAGAACGCGTTGTCGATGCAATCGGGAGGAGGTGGTCGTGATGGCTGGGACACTGTGCAGTGTGGTGGAGGGAAGGTAACCTACTTGGGAGGGTGGCAGGTGGTCATCGTAGTAATGTTTGAACACGAAGGCTTTCGCGAGCAATTATCCGTGAGTTTTTTTATTTTCTTGCGTTAGAGATCGCGTAAATGTCAACGTGTCGTGAAACCCGCCACCACCCGACACAGCCAAATAGTGAGGGTTGTCACGTGAACGTAACGTGCCAATTATAATTAGTTACTGGCTCTGCACACCGAAGTTTAAAACCGTAACATTTACAATTAGAGTACCGTGACATTTCGCCGGTAATAAGAACATTTCTATTTACGTGATCTAACCCAAGAAAGAGTAAAAGCTCGTTTATAGTTGGAATAAATGTTACGGTTGTTGTTGTTTTCCCCAAGAAGTATCGCAGGGAGTCTCAAGAGCCTTCGCTCGGAGGGTCCTGTCAACTGTTCGCAGTTGGGACGCAATGTTTATTTCTACTGTGGGAGGAAACCAGATATCCTCGGAGGAAACCCACCCCCCCCCCCCCCCCATGGAGAACAGGAGGAGAGAGAGAGAGGGAACGTTCAAACTCCACGCAGGAATCGAACAAAGACCCCCGCCGTTTCTGCGAGGCGCAAACGTCACCGCGAATCGGCGCAGCAAGCGCCGTGTCGTCGTCGTCGTCGTCATCGCTGCAGCCACCATCGTGTCCCTGTCTGTGCTGTGCTCTCCATCCCTACCCTGCTGCTACTGCAACTTAACCTACTTTTACTGGTAGGAACCTCCTGGTTCCACCAGCCCACAGGGGATTATTGTGTCCGTCCGTCCGTCGTGCATGCAAAAATGGGAGGGGTGGTGGCTCGCTGGAGAGGGGAGGGTGAGGAGGGGCTGGGTGGGGAGGGTGAGGAGGGGCTGGGTGGGGAGGGTGGGGAGGGGCTGGGTGGGGAGGGTGGGGTGGTGGGGCTGGGTGGGGAGGGGAGGTGCTGGTCACCCCGTGGTGCCCTTATAAAACTCAACGTTTAACCTACTCACGCCGGCTTGTGCCCGCTCTCACAGTGGGGTATATTTACGGAATACACCACGCCACCGTTGACCCTGACCATTGACCGAGCAACCCAACGTTCCTACCAGCTTCCTCCGCAGGAATGTGTTAGGCCCCACCGAGGGACCTATCACAAATTAGAGCTCAAGCGAGTGGCTTATCGTCACGTGGAATTGCATTGCGGCAGCCAAACACTTCGAACGCGTCGTGACGTCGACTCTAAACGTGGAGGGGGAAACCGGAGGACCCGGAGAAAAATCCACGCGACCACGGGGAGAGAGAGAGAGACACGCAAACTCCAAATCTACAGCAAGCGTCGTCAGGGTCGGGATGGAACGCACGACCTTGCGGGGGGGTGTGTCCGTGTTGAACAGGAGGAGCGTTGCAGCGCTGTGGCGCTGGCGCTGTGGCTCACCACTTTGTCGAGCCCCAGGTCGGCGGTGTTGGGCCCGCGGCCCACGGCCCAGACCAACGCCTCCACGCCGACCATCACCTCCGTCCGCTCCGCCTCGCCCGGCCCGTTAGTCGCCACGGCGACCTGCAGCGGCCCTCCCGGGGAGCCGCGGCTAACGGAGCGCACCTGGCGGCGGTGGGGGGAACAGCCGCAATTATGGTGGCGGGGAGGGGGGGGGTCGGGCGTGGGTTGGTGGGGGGGGGGGGGCGCTGAAGGGGCGGGAGATTTGGGGGGGACTTGGGGGCGGCATCTGGAGGAGGATAAAGTGGCGGTTCTAATGCAGCCATTGGTGACCGGGCCGAGACCGTCAAAGTGCGACGCTCGGAGTTCATTCTGTTTCACCTGCGGCTGAGAACTCATTGGAAAGAGCGACCTGGGCCACCAACATTACAAACAGCGGACCGCAGAGCTTGGGAAATGGTTAGAAGGCGATCACGGGCCGGCATCGCTCACTCGCCTGCGTGTACTTTCGCACGTCCACGCCCGAGTTGAGCAGCTCCTGCGTGCAGTTGGCGCTGATCATCGCGTCGAAGTTACGCAGGACCTGGGCAGAGGGGGCGGCCGACAGCGGCGCATGTCAGATCCGCCGCGGGTCGAATTCAACGCTGGCTCCCTCGCAGCCCTCCAACGTGCCGCTGTGGGTCAAACAAACCGGATCGGCACATCCACGGAAGATGGTGGACACCCACGGCACAAGTGGAGAACAATCGACTCTCTCTCTCTCTCTCTGCTGATGTGTGCGGCTTCGTCTACGAATACCAAACCGTGGAGAACAGAACTTCGCTCCGCAACGAATGTACATGTGATGGCGGTGGGTGGGTGAGTGGGTTGGTGAGTGAGTGGGTGAGTGATTGGGTGGGTGAGTGGGTGAGTGATTGGGTGGGTGAGTGGGTTGGTGAGTGAGTGCGTGAGTGATTGGGTGGGTGAGTGGGTTGGTGAGTGAGTGGGTGAGTGATTGGGTGGGTGAGTGGGTTGGTGGGTGAATGGGTTGGTGAGTGAGTGGGTGAGTGATTGGGTGGGTGAATGGGTTGGTGAGTGATTGGGTGGGTGAGTGGGTTGGTGGGTGAATGGGTTGGTGATTGGGTGAGTGATTGGGTGGGTGAGTGGGTGGGTAAGTGGATGAGTGGATGGGCGAGTGAGTGGGTAGTATCTGTGATTCACCAATTCTCGCACAGAGCAACTGAACGGCGAAAATCGCATGGGACTTCATTGGCTACGAACACAAAACCGTGCAGAACATAACTTCGCACTGCCCCAAATATACACGTGAAGGCAGTCGGTGGGTGAATGTGTGAGTGAATGTGTGAGTGGATGAGTGAGTGGGTGAGTGAGTGAGTGGGTGAGTGGGTGAGTGGGTGAGTGAGTGAGTGGGTGGGTGAGCGAGTAGATGAGTGAGTGGGTGGGTGAGTGGGTGAGTGAGTGGGTGAGTGAGCGGGTGAGTGGATGAGTGAGTGGGTGAGCGAGTAAATGAGTGGGTGAGTGAGTGGGTGAGTGAGTGAGTGGGTGAGTGAATGGGTGAGCGAGTAGATGAGCGAGTGGGTGAGCGAGTAGATGAGCGAGTAGATGAGCGAGTGGGTGAGCGAGTGGGTGAGCGAGTAGATGAGTGGGTGAGTAAGTGGGTGAGTGAGCGGGTGAGTGGATGAGTGAGTGGGTGAGCGAGTAAATGAGTGGGTGAGTGAGTGGATGAGTGAGTGGGTGAGTGAATGGATGAGTGAGTGGGTGAGTGAGTGGATGAGTGAGTGGGTGAGTGAGTGGATGAGTGAGTGGGTAAGCGAGTAGATGAGCCAGTGGGTGAGCGAGTAGATGAGCGAGTGGGTGAGCGAGTGGGTGAGTGGGTGAGTGAGTGGGTGAGTGAGTGGGTGAGTAGATGAGTGAGTAGATGAGTGGGTGAATGAGTGGGTGGGTGAGTGGGTGAGCAAGTAGATGAGTGGGTGAGTGAGTGGGTGAGTGGATGAGTGAGTGGGTGAGTGGGTGAGTGGATGAGTGAGTGGGTGAGTGAGTGGGTGAGTGGATGAGCGAGTGGGTGAGCGAGTAGATGAGTGGGTGAGTGAGTGAGTGGGTGAGTTGGTAGTATCTGTGCTTTACCAATTTTCACACAGAGCAACCCTCACGGCTAAAATCTCCTGGGACTTGATCGGCCGCACGGCATCATGAACAACGCTCCACTCACCTCGTTTTGCCGGATGAGCAGCGACGTTTGAGCTCCCAGTGCCGCGAAGATGCCGGCCAATTCCACGGCGATGTAACCAGCACCGACCAGCACCACACGGCTGAACCACACAACAACACAACGACACAACGACACAACGACACAGATCCTCCTCCTGTACGCCACACCGTGGGGGTGCGAGTGCCGATAGCGAGGAGCAGGACCTACGAAGGCCGCGCCGTGGTACGGTGAGCAGCGCGCCCAGCCGTCTTTGTCTTCCCAGTCTTGATGTTGACCAAAGCACATTTACCTCTTGACCAGACGCGACCAGCAACATGAAGAATGACGTGAACAGGCAGCGACGTGAACAGGCAGCGACGTGAACAGGCAGCAGTGTGAACAGGCAGCAGTGTGAACAGGCAGCGACGTGAACAGGCAGCGACGTGACAGGCAGCGACGTGAACAGGCAGCGACGTGAACAGGCAGCGACGTGAACAGGCAGCAGTGTGAACAGGCAGCAGTGTGAACAGGCAGCGACGTGAACAGGTAGCAGTGTGAACAGGCAGCAGTGTGAACAGGCAGCGATGTGAACAGGCAGCGACGTGAACAGGCAGCAGTGTGAACAGGCAGCGATGTGACAGGCAGCAGTGTGAACAGGCAGCGACGTGAACAGGCAGCAGTGTGAACAGGCAGCAGTGTGAACAGGCAGCGACGTGAACAGGCAGCAGTGTGAACAGGCAGCAGTGTGAACAGGCAGCAGTGTGAACAGGCAGCGATGTGAACAGGCAGCGACGTGAACAGGTAGCAGTGTGAACAGGCAGCAGTGTGAACAGGCAGCGATGTGAACAGGCAGCGACGTGAACAGGCAGCGATGTGAACAGGCAGCGACGTGAACAGGCAGCGACGTGAACAGGCAGCGACGTGAACAGGCAGCAGTGTGAACAGGCAGCGTTGTGAACAGGCAGCGACGTGAACAGGCAGCGATGTGACAGGCAGTGATGTGAACAGGCAGCGATGTGAACAGGCAGCAGTGTGAACAGGCAGCGACGTGAACAGGCAGCGATGTGACAGGCAGCGATGTGAACAGGCAGCAGTGTGAACAGGCAGCGACGTGGACAGGCAGCGACGTGAACAGGCAGCGACGTGGACAGGCAGCGACGTGAACAGACAGCGACGTGAACAGGCAGCAGTGTGAACAGGCAGCAGTGTGAACAGGCAGCAGTGTGAACAGGCAGCGACGTGAACAGGCAGCAGTGTGAACAGGCAGCGACGTGAACAGGCAGCGACGTGAACAGGCAGCAGTGTGAACAGGCAGCGACGTGAACAGGCAGCGACGTGAACAGGCAGCAGTGTGAACAGGCAGCAGTGTGAACAGGCAGCGACGTGACAGGCAGCGACGTGAACAGGCAGCAGTGTGACCAGGCAGCAGTGTGAACAGGCAGCAGTGTGAACAGGCAGCGATGTGAACAGACAGCAGTGTGAACAGGCAGCAGTGTGAACAGGTAGCAGTGTGAACAGGCAGCAGTGTGAACAGGCAGCGACGTGAACAGGCAGCGACGTGAACAGGCAGCAGTGTGAACAGGCAGCAGTGTGAACAGGCAGCGACGTGACAGGCAGCGACGTGAACAGGCAGCAGTGTGACCAGGCAGCAGTGTGAACAGGCAGCAGTGTGAACAGGCAGCAGTGTGAACAGGTAGCAGTGTGAACAGGCAGCAGTGTGAACAGGCAGCAGTGTGAACAGGCAGCAGTGTGAACAGGCAGCGACGTGAACAGGCAGCGACGTGAACAGACAGCGACGTGAACAGGCAGCAGTGTGAACAGGTAGCAGTGTGAACAGGCAGCAGTGTGAACAGGTAGCAGTGTGAACAGGCAGCGATGTGAACAGGCAGCGACGTGAACAGGCAGTGACGTGAACAGGCAGCAGTGTGAACAGGCAGCAGTGTGAACAGGCAGCGACGTGAACAGGCAGCAGTGTGAACAGGCAGCGATGTGAACAGGCAGCAGTGTGAACAGGCAGCAGTGTGAACAGGCAGCAGTGTGAACAGGCAGCGACATGAACAGGCAGCAGTGTGAACAGGCAGCAGTGTGAACAGGCAGTGACGTGAACAGGCAGCGACGTGAACAGGCAGCGACGTGAACAGGCAGCGATGTGAACAGGCAGCAGTGTGAACAGGCAGCAGTGTGAACAGGCAGCAGTGTGAACAGGCAACAGTGTGAACAGGCAGCGACGTGAACAGGCAGCAGTGTGAACAGGCAGCAGTGTGAACAGGCAGCAGTGTGAACAGGCAGCGATGTGAACAGTCAGCAGTGTGAACAGGCAGCAGTGTGAACAGGCAGCGATGTGAACAGGCAGCAGTGTGAACAGGCAGCAGTGTGAACAAGCAGCGACGTGAACAGGCAGCAGTGTGAACAGGCAGCGACGTGAACAGGCAGCAGCGTGAACAGGCAGCGACATGAACAGGCAGCAGTGTGAACAGGCAGCAGTGTAAACAGGCAGCAGTGTGAACAGGCAGCGATGTGAACAGGCAGCGACGTGAACAGGCAGCGACGTGAACAGGCAGCGACGTGAACAGGCAGCGACGTGAACAGGCAACTCACTTGGGCAGCTCCTCCAGCTCGAAGAAGCCATCGCTCGTCATTCCCAGACTGGCTCCTGCACACGCGGCGACCAAAGACAAAGATCACCCATATAGCCTTGAACAGACCGTTGGAGAAAGTGCTGTCACAGCAAGCACCTTTGAAGGCCGGCCGGCACGGCACATGAGGCGGGTTTGGTGCTGATGCTTACACACTGCACCAGGTGTGAATCCACACCACTTGAACAATTTCAATAATAGATAGATTTTTTTTTTCCCGGGCAAAGTTTTTGTTCACTGTCAGTCAGAGAGAGGAGGGGGGGCGAATGATTCAGAAGCGTGGGAAACCACAGACGAGCAGAGGCGGGCAGCCAGAACCGGCGTCAACAATTGCCCAAGTTCTGCGATCCTACGCCAACTCCACCAACGAGTGATGATAAACACGCACTCCTTTTTGTGTCTAGTTTGTTGTCCTTCCCCGAGTTCCTCCGATAAGCAAGGTGGGCTACATGAGGTGCAAAAGAAGTTCAACACACATAGATAGTGAGGGAAAAAAGTATTTGATCCCCTGCTGATTTTGTACGTTTGCCCACTGACAAAGAAATGATCAGTCTATAATTTTAATGGTAGGTTTATTTGAACAGTGAGAGACAGAATAACAACAACAAAATCCAGAAAAACGCATGTCAAAAATGTTATAAATTGATTTGCATTTTAATGAGGGAAATAAGTATTTGACCCCCTCTCAATCAGAAAGATTTCTGGCTCCCAGGCGTCTTTTATACAGGTAACGAGCTGAGATTAGGAGCACACTCTTAAAGGGAGTGCTCCTAATCTCAGCTTGTTACCTGTATAAAAGACACCTGTTCACAGAAGCAATCAATTAATCAGATTCCAAACTCTCCACCATGGCCAAGACCAGAAAGCTCTCCAAGGATGTCAGGGACAAGATTGTAGACCTACACAAGGCTGGAATGGGCTACAAGACCATCGCCAAGCAGCTTGGTGAGAAGGTGACAACAGTTGGTGCGAGTATTCGCAAATGGAAGAAACACAAAACTGTCAATCTCCCTCGGCCTGGGGCTCCATGCAAGATCTCACCTCGTGGAGTGTATGTACATATGGCAGGAACCGAAGCACCCGAAAAAGACCCACGCATGTGAGGCGGTGGGGGGGGTAGTAATGCTGCATCTCCATGCAGGTGGACAGAGATCAGTCCACCTGCCACCCCCCACGACGCGAGTCACTGTCAAGTGAGCGAGCGGGCGGGCGGACGTAGCGGGCGGGCGAGCGTCCTCTCTAATGTTGATACTCCGACTGATGCTCCTGCTGTTGTGGAGTGACTCATGCAGCCAGCTATGGCTGCAGAGTTTGGTAATACATGTTGTTTACGTCGTTTATTGTGAAAATTCCGTCACAGTTCCTATGACCTGCACTGTTTCATTGCTTATGGCTTTATTTTGGTGATTTTTGAAAAGTTTTTTGGTTTGGCCATGTTTGTTTGTTGTAGTACAGAGTTAGACTGATGGCCTTAATCTAAGTTGTCTTGTGGTTGCTGTTGGTTGGCTTGCATCCCACTGGGATATTTGCACAGGGTTGGTGTACGGTGATTTTTCTGCAATATTTTGCTGTCTTTTCTTGGATTTTCTGTTTGCACAAAGTCACTTTAAGATGTTTTCTTGTTCATGTTTTTTGTTTGTTGCGGTTGCACCCGATTCAAGAGCCGAATGGCTCACAGGGCTCTATACCTAATAAATGAACTTTGAACTCTCACCGGGTACGCTGCTGTCGGTCGGCATGCTGGGGTGCCCCCCCGTGGCGATGACGATGTGCGGCGCCGTGTAGACCCGGCCGTCCACCGCCACGGCCGGCTGGCCCTCCTCCAGCGTAAACATCGCTCGCCCACGCACCACCTCCACCTTGGACTGACGGGGGGGGGGGCGAGCGAGCGAGTGAGTGAGCGAGCAAACGAGCGGGCGAGAGAGAGAAGTTACTCGAAGCAGCACAGGTTTGTAGCGAGCGTAGGTTTCCCCCCCCCCCCCCCCCCGAGAGAGAATCATTCAAGGATCAGAGCGGTCCCGCGTTTGTTCAGGAGCGGCGGTTCGAGCCATCGGCCGCCCTGGTGAATGGGAATATTTATTGACGGCTGGAGGAATCCCATGGAGTTACAAAGCTTTTTTTTTTCCACAGATGTTCAGTCGGAGCAGAGTCAGAACTTTACAACAACAAACAATAAAAAAAAATGATGAAATATAAAATTATATATACGCGGTGGTTTGGGCTGTTGCAGTTCTTTATTATTAAAATTTCCCTCCCTTTATTACTGCTAATCCTACATAATACACGAGCATAATGACTTTGAGACCCTACCCACCGCCTACACATTCCACAAGGAGTGACTAATCCCATATCTGCATTTGTCATCAATATGCTAAATTCCTCTGTTGATATGTAAACTCCTTTGTCAAGGCGCTCTGCTCCTCCTACCCAGCTTAAAATACGCTGCTAAGCTTAGCGGTGTTCATTAGGACGCTGTCTTTCCGACAGCCCTGTTCTTCACCTGAGGACGGCTGCTTGCGTTGTGGCCGAAACGTCGTGAGAATTGTATTTTATTACGTGTTATTTTAAATATTTTATTATTTCCCTTCTACGTGACTTTACCGAAAGAACCAAGAATATGTAAACAAATCACTTAAAATGCTGCGGGTGTATCCATCGTACAGAGCAACAACAAAAAGCACGCGCCAGTCTGCTTCACAACGGACATTCGACGGCGAGTAAGAGCCATTGCGTGTGCCAGCGTCTTGGTACAACATTTCCAAATGACACAATTGGGATCTTACACAGCAGCAGCAACGATGGCCACCGACCTCGGCACTATGGCAGGCGAAGCTTTCCTGGCTAAACGGGCAGAGTCGTATTTGTGTTTTTTTTGTCACGATACTGCGCTTGGTAGCCGGGTGCGGCGAGCACGAATACCGACAACTCAACGCATCGGTCGACCAACGCCGTGGGGCCCTACGAGGCCGGGTAATGGACGCGTTGAAGGGCAACTTTTGGCAACGTTTCGGCAACGGCCCTTCTCCAGCACACACACACAGCGCATGCGACGGATCTGTCGAGCGTCGCGTTTCCGCGAGGCGTACGCACGTTGTCCAGGTTCCTCTGATAGATGTCGTTCAGCCTCTTGATGTAGGCGTCCCGTTTCTCCTTGATGGTCCTGGGAGGAGGAGCAATGGCGGCGGGGGAGTGTGCAGAGCGTGCGTGGGGAGCGGTGGCGTAGTGGTTAGCATGCCACGATACGAACCCGGCTACCCGAGTTCGATTCCCACTCGCGGCCGGTGGCAGTGGCTGATATTTGTACGACTCCTGGGCCTCCCCTAGGTAGACTCGGCCTTAAAAAGGCATGGCGGCCTTGATAAGAGCTCGCAAACAGCACATTCCCCTACACTATGTTGAGGCTATACGGCAGATCTTTATCTTTGTCTGGTGACACTGGATTACAGTGAAAGGTTGCAAACAAAATGCAACCAAGACCTCACCTTGACCTCAAGTTTCACAGCGGCGACCGTCTGGTCCAGCGCGTGAAACATGGACAGTGTTTGCAATTTTCTTTTGATCACGACCGTGACACGCTAGCCTCACAACACAACCCGGGCCTTTATCAGGGTCAGGCAGGGCCAGGGCCAGGGGTTAACGGCGTTCACCGCGTGTGGTGACGTCTGTCAGTACATGGGCGAGGACACGGGCTCACCGCATCCACTGGCACGCGTCTCAAAACTCGTTCGACGACGTCAGCGGCACAGCTCGGCAGCTGCGGTGGAAAAACAACGCTGCTGCTGCCGCCTCCTGGGACCGTGGCCCTGTGGGCTAAGAACAGCTTCAGCACGGCTCGGTTGTGCGGTGGAGAAAGGGGCGCTGGTGGTTGTGCTCCGGACCTCCAGCTGAAGTCGACGGAGCCGACGGTGAACCCGTAGTCGGCGTGGTCGTGGAGGAGCTCGGCGTGCATCGCAGCGTTGTACATCACCTGACCGCAACGCAGGAACACCGCAGCACGTAAACCACAACACAATGTCATAAACCACACCACATCCAAACCACAACACATCACATAAACCACGCAGCTAAATCACTGCACGTAAACCACAACGCCATGTCATAAACCACACCACATCCAAACCACAACACATAAACCACGCAGCAACACCGCAGCACGTAAACCACAACGCAATGTCATAAACCACACCACATTCAAACCACAACACAGCAAATAAACCACGCAGCTAAACCACTGCACATAAACCACAACACAATGTCATAAACCACACCACATCCAAACCACAACACATAAACCACGCAGCTAAACCACTGCACGTAAACCACAACACAGCGAATAAACCACCCCACAGACGAACATTGGGCCCCATAGACTCCAAGACAGGCCCGTAAAGACCCCATAGCTCGACACGGATCAACACAAGAGACCAATCCCAGCCGTGCGCAAGGCGTGTTGCCCAAAACGTCAGCCTAAACATACGTTGACGAATGTGGCGATGCATAGGCAAGCGTCACCACGAAGGGCCGACGAATGGCCGATGGTCCCGAATAAAAACGGGAGCGTCCGCCAAGGAACGGAGCGCGTTCCGTGAGGGCGGCTGCCCCCCCCCGTCGCCACCGTGGTGGAGACGGAGCGATGAAATCAGTTTGTGTGCACGGTGGACTGCGGCATGGCAGGGTGCGCGAGGGGCGGTGGTTGGCTTGGGCAGGCCGTCATCCAGCAGTGGACCGAGCGTGGCTGGCTCTGGAATTGGTGTTTGGGTTGGAGGGACGGTCAGAGGCACAGGGAGGGAGGAAAGGAGGCAATGGTGGATCATCGCTCACCTTCTTTGGAACGCAGCCCACGTTCACCTGCGGAATGCAAAACGGACAATGAGGGGCGGGTATCATGTGCACACAATCTCCACACTCTCTCTCACCTCTCCCTTCACTCACCGCACACTCTCTCCATACTCACACAACACTCACACCTCTCTCCCCACTCTCTCCACACTCACACCTCTCTCCACACCCTCTCCCCTCACTCACACACTCACACCTCTACCCACTCTCCCCACTCTCACACAAATTCCCTGTAACACACACACATATAAACACTCTGCATTGTCACTCACCACACATTTCTCTGCCCACAATCACCTCACCACACAAAGACAAAGACCCCCCGTGTAGCCTGTAATAGACTGTAGGGGCAAGTGCTGTTAGCGAGCACCTATGAAGGCAGGCACGGCACACGATGGGGTGGGTGGCCAGCACCACGCCCGGCCGCCTTTGTCTCCCCACTCACACCCAACCCTCACACACCCCACTCTACGCACCCTACCCTCACACACACACACACCCCACTCACCACCCAACCCTAACACACACACACTCCACTCACCCCACTCACCCAACCCTCACACACACACACCCCACTAACCCCACCCAACCCTCACACACACACACACCCCACTCACCACCCAACCCTCACACACACACACCCCCACTCTCACCACCCAACCCTCACACACACACACCACTCACCACCCAACCCTCACACACACACACCACTCACCACCCAACCCTCACACACACACACCACTCACCACCCAACCCTCACACACACACACCACTCACCACCCAACCCTCACACACACACACCACTCACCACCCAACCCTCACACACACACACCACTCACCACCCAACCCTCACACACACACACCCCACTCTCCACCCACCCTCACACACACACCACTCACCACCCAACCCACACACACACCTCCTCACTACCCAACCCTCACACCCACACCACTCACCACCCAACCCTCACACACACACACCACTCACCACCAACCCTCACACACACACCCCACTCACCACCCAACCCTCACACACACACACACACACCACTCACCACCCAACCCTCACACACACCCCCCACTCACCACCCAACCCTCACACACACACACCACTCACCACCCAACCCTCACACACACACACCACTCACCACCCAACCCTCACACACACACCCCACTCACCCCACCCAAACCCTCACACACACACACCCCACTCACCACACCCAACCCTCACACACACACACCCCACTCACCCCACCCACCCAACCCTCACACACACACACACACCCCACTCTCACCACCCAACCTCACACACACACACCCCACTCACACCCACCCTCACACACACACACACCCCACTCACCACACCCAACTCTCACACACACACACCCCACTCACCCCACCACCCAACCCTCACTCACACACCCCACTCACCACCCAACCCTCACACACACACACACCCCACTCACCACCCAACCCTCACACACACACACACCACTAACCACCCAACCCTCACACACACACACCACTCACCACCCAACCCTCACACACACACACACCACTCACCACCCAACCCTCACACACACACCACTCACCACCCAACCCTCATACACACACACCCCACTAACCCCACCCAACCCTCACACACCCCGCTCACCACCCAATCCTCACACACACACCCCACTCCCCACCCAACCCTCACACACACACACCACTCACCACCCAACCCTCACACACACACCCCACTCACCACCCAACCCTCACACACACACACACACCACTCACCACCCAACCCTCACACACACACCCCACTCACCACCCAACCCTCACACACACACACCACTCACCACCCAACCCTCACACACACACACCACTCACCACCCAACCCTCACACACACACACCCCACTCACCCCACCCAACCCTCACACACACACACCCCACTCACCACACCCAACCCTCACACACACACACCCCACTCACCCCACCCACCCAACCCTCACACACACACACACACCCCACTCTCACCACCCAACCCTCACACACACCCCACTCACAACCCAACCCTCACACACAGACACAGGTGCCCCCCCCACTCACACAGGAGCCCCCCCCCCACACAGGTGCCCCCCCCACTCACACAGGAGCCCCCCCCCCACACAGGTGCCCCCCCCACTCACACAGGAGCCCCCGCCCACACAGGTGCCCCCCCACACAGGAGCCCCCCCCCCACTCACACAGGTGCCCCCCCCACTCACACAGGAGCCCCCCCCACACAGGTACCCCCCCCACACCTCCCCCCCCCACTCACACAGGTGCCCCCCCCCCCACTCACACACGTGCCCCCCACTCACACAGGTCCCCCCCCCCACACGTGCCCCCCCCCCCCCCACACACGTGCCCCCCCCCCCACACACGTGCCCCCCCCCCCACACACGTGCCCCCCCCCCACACACGTGCCCCCCCCCCACACACGTGCCCCCCCCACTCACACACGTGCCCCCCCCCCACACACGTGCCCCCCCCCCACACACGTGCCCCCCCCACTCACACAGGTGCCCCCCCCCCACACACGTGCCCCCCCCCCCCCCACACACGTGCCCCCCCCCCCACACACGTGCCCCCCCCCCACACATGTGCCCCCCCCCCACACGTGCCCCCCCCCCACACACGTGCCCCCCCCCCCCACTCACACAGGTGCCCCCCAGCCTGCCGCTCTCCACCAGGCAGGCGCTGGCCCCCAGCTCGGCCGCGCGTCTCGCAGCCGCCAGCCCCCCCGAGCCGCCCCCCAGAACCACGAGGTCGAAGCGGTGGCGGCGACCTCCCCCAGCCCCCCCAGCCCCCTCTGCTGCTGCTGCCCGCGTTGTCATCGTCGCTGCCCTTGCCGCTGATGCCCTTGCTGCTGATGCTGCTGCTGCTGATGCTGCTGCCAAAGTCCGAGTCAGCAGGCTGCTGTGCATGGCGCCTTCAAGGAGGAGGGAGGAGGATGATGATGGTGGGGGTGGTGGGGGTGGTTCCGATGTTCCGCACTGTCCGCCTTCTTGCCCCCCCCCCCCCCTTGACTTGCCGAGACCTGTTCCTCGACGTTACGGGGGTTGTTGCTGTTGTTGTTGTTGTTGCTGTTGTTGTTCTCCGCACTGCAATCGTCTTCTCCCGATGACAAGACCCCCTCCTCCTCCAAAAACAACAACCACAACCACCACCAGCACCACCGTGTTAGTGCCACCCGGTGTCTTGTAACAGCAAGAAGCTGGCAACAACTCACGCCTATCGCGTTCTTAAGACGCACCAGCAAACCCCAGACTTGTAGTATCTACATAGTGAACAGTGCTATACTATAGAGGTGTGGGGGGTAATCCAGCAGCAGCAGCAGCAGGAGTTACGCAACAGCCGCGGGTTGATTGCGAAGGTGAAACCGATCCAAGTGGCGGTGTTTTGCCAAGTCACGGTGACTGCAGTGATCGTGTCGGGCTGTTGGTAATGACACCGAACTCTCGTGGGCTGCCTCGTAGCACGAGGTGAGCACCGACGCCGTTCGAAACGTGGGGGTTTAACCAGGCGAGGAAGTCAGCAGCAATTAGCCCCAGACAATTGAGCAGCCCGGAAATTAAGTCGTCTTAAACTAACCAAATTGACCAGGCCAGGCAAAGCAAGCGAGCACTTAAAACAGGGCCCGGATCTACGCGTTACTTAATCTTTGTTGACATTGTGGGAGCGAATCCGACCATCGCCTCTCGATACGTTAGATCAGCCACAGATGACAATGAACCCCCCATGTACACACACACACGTTAGATCAGCCACAGATGACAATGAACCCCCCATGTACACACACACACGTTAGATCAGCCACAGATGACAATGAACCCCAATGTACACACACACGTTAGATCAGCCACAGATGACAATGAACCCCCCATGTACACACACACACGTTAGATCAGCCACAGATGACAATGAACCCCCCATGTACACACACACACGTTAGATCAGCCACAGATGACAATGAACCCCCCTTGTACACACACACACGTTAGATCAGCCACAGATGACAATGAACCCCCCTTGTACACACACACACGTTAGATCAGCCACAGATGACAATGAACCCCCCTTGTACACACACACACGTTAGATCAGCCACAGATGACAATGAACCCCAATGTACACACACACGTTAGATCAGCCACAGATGACAATGAACCCCCCATGTACACACACACACGTTAGATCAGCCACAGATGACAATGAACCCCCCATGTACACACACACACGTTAGATCAGCCACAGATGACAATGAACCCCAATGTACACACACACACGTTAGATCAGCCACAGATGACAATGAACCCCCCATGTACACACACACACGTTAGATCAGCCACAGATGACAATGAACCCCCCATGTACACACACACACGTTAGATCAGCCACAGATGACAATGAACCCCCCATGTACACACACACACGTTAGATCAGCCACAGATGACAATGAACCCCAATGTACACACACACGTTAGATCAGCCACAGATGACAATGAACCCCCCATGTACACACACACACGTTAGATCAGCCACAGATGACAATGAACCCCCCATGTACACACACACACGTTAGATCAGCCACAGATGACAATGAACCCCCCTTGTACACACACACACGTTAGATCAGCCACAGATGACAATGAACCCCCCTTGTACACACACACACGTTAGATCAGCCACAGATGACAATGAACCCCCCTTGTACACACACACACGTTAGATCAGCCACAGATGACAATGAACCCCAATGTACACACACACGTTAGATCAGCCACAGATGACAATGAACCCCCCATGTACACACACACACGTTAGATCAGCCACAGATGACAATGAACCCCCCATGTACACACACACACGTTAGATCAGCCACAGATGACAATGAACCCCAATGTACACACACACGTTAGATCAGCCACAGATGACAATGAACCCCCCATGTACACACACACACGTTAGATCAGCCACAGATGACAATGAACCCCCCATGTACACACACACACGTTAGATCAGCCACAGATGACAATGAACCCCCCTTGTACACACACACACGTTAGATCAGCCACAGATGACAATGAACCCCCCTTGTACACACACACACGTTAGATCAGCCACAGATGACAATGAACCCCCCTTGTACACACACACACGTTAGATCAGCCACAGATGACAATGAACCCCAATGTACACACACACGTTAGATCAGCCACAGATGACAATGAACCCCCCATGTACACACACACACGTTAGATCAGCCACAGATGACAATGAACCCCCCATGTACACACACACACGTTAGATCAGCCACAGATGACAATGAACCCCCCTTGTACACACACACACGTTAGATCAGCCACAGATGACAATGAACCCCCCTTGTACACACACACACGTTAGATCAGCCACAGATGACAATGAACCCCCCTTGTACACACACACACGTTAGATCAGCCACAGATGACAATGGACCCCCCATGTACACACACACACGTTAGATCAGCCACAGATGACAATGAACCCCCCTTGTACACACACACACGTTAGATCAGCCACAGATGACAATGGACCCCCCATGTACACACACACACACGTTAGATCAGCCACAGATGACAATGAACCCCCCTTGTACACACACACACGTTAGATCAGCCACAGATGACAATGAACCCCCCATGTACACACACACACGTTAGATCAGCCACAGATGACAATGGAACCCCCCATGTACACACACGCACGTTAGATCAGCCACAGATGACAATGAACCCCCCATGTACACACACACACGTTAGACTGCCCACAGATGACAATGAAACCCCCTTGTACACACACGCACGCCCCACAGCAGCGTCTCTGCGGGTTGCAAGAGGCCCAGTGACATTGAGAAACTCGCGGCACGGACAGTGGCGTCTGTTTCCGTGACCACGTGTGGCAGACCCAGTGCCCCGGCAGCGTCGTTACGTCATCACGCACACAACACCTCGGTGGGGGTGGAGCGTGGTGACGTCATCACGCACACGCAACACAAACCCACGGGGTGTGGAGCGTGGCGACGTTATAACGCGAAACATCTCACGGGGTATGTAGCGCGGTGACGTCACCACGCACACACAAACGCCTCAGGGAGTGGAGCGTGGTGACGTTATCACGCACAACACCTCCCGGGGTGTGGAGCGCGGTGACGTCATCACGCACACAACACCTCCCGGTGTGTGGAGCGTCGTGACGTTATCACGCACAACAATTCGAGGGGGAGTGGAGCGCGGTGACGTCAACACGCACACAACACCTCCCAGGGTGTGGAGCGCGGTGACGTCATCACGCACACAACACCTCCCGGGGTTTGGAGCGCGTTGACGTCATCACGCACACAACACCTCCCAGGGTGTGGAGCGCGTTGACGTCATCACGCACACAACACCTCCCGGGGTGTGGAGCGCGTTGACGTCATCACGCACACAACACCTCCCGGGGTGTGGAGCGCGTTGACGTCATCACGCACACACAGACACCTCAGAGTGGAGCGCGGTGACGTCATCACGTCGGGCACCCTTCGCGGGAAAAGCGCAGCGCACGAACGCCTCGTTTTGGACGCCGATTCTCCAGATTTATGATTATTTTAAAAGTTAAATTTATCGTGAATAAATAGCGGATTTGACATTCTCACCGTTACTTTCGCCACTTACATTTTGCGATATCAATTGCCTCAAACATAGTAAGTGAAAATGTGTCACTTTTCACGATTTTGTATGTGTGGTCAATTGTGTGTCATGTGTGACCTTTTTATTAAAATAAAATTAAATAAGCTATTACACCGTTTAAAACATATTCTTCATGGCAATGTTTAACGAAAGCAATGTATCAATAGACATTATCAAAGGAAATATTTAACTTAAACAGTTAACATTTTTTCCTGAGGTAAATACATCGTCTAATTTCTCCTCAGAGTGGACATTAAAAAAACCTGTTAAAAAGAAAATCTACTTCAATGTTTACGTCATTTTAGTTTGCATTTAAGAAATACAGTCTGATTATTTAAACAAGGTTAATTATTAACAGATTGTTGCGTGAAATATTGACCGTATCCTTGATTATAAGACGCACTCCCAACGAGAGGAAATCGCGTCTTGTAGAAGTTAGTAGTGAAACACAATCACTTGTAATGTCCAACTCTTTGTTTTCTTTATTGCAGTAAGGAGATCATGGCCACGGCTCAGATGATCCGACCGAAACAATCGCAACGAATGGTGCACAATTTTTTTTTCACTTAAAACAAACACAGACACGCTTTAAACTTGGCTATGAGATGTTAACTACCTCGCCTGGTCTACAGGAGGTCGTGGATTCAATCCCGACCCTGATAATTACTGCTGCTGTATATTTGGAGTTTGCGTCTCTCTCATCATCATCATCACAGTGGCTATGAGATGTTAACTACCTCGCCTGGTCTACAGGAGGTCGTGGGTTCAATCCAGACCCTGACAATGTCTGCTGCTGCTGTAGATTTGGAGTTTAAGTCTATCATCATCACGGTGGCTATGAGATGTTAACTACTTCTCTTAGTATACAGGAGTTCGTGGGTTTAATCCAGACCCTGACGACGCCTGCTGCTGTATATTTGGAGTTTGCGTCTTTCTCATCATCATCATCACAGTGGCTATGAGATGTTAACTACCTCGCCTGGTATACAGGAGGTCGTGGGTTCAATCCAGACCCTGACAATGTCTGCTGCTGCTGTATATTTGGAGTTTGCATCTCTCTCATCATCACGGTGGCTATGAGATGTTAACTACTTCGTCTTGGTCTACAGGAGGTCCTGGGTTCAATCCCGACCCTGATAATGTTTGCTGCTGCTGTATAGTTGGAGTTTAGGTCTCTCATCATCATCATCACGGTGGCTATGAGATGTTAACTACTTCTCCTAGTGTACAGGAGGTCGTGGATTCAATCCAGACCCTGATGACGCCTGCTGCTCTATATTTTGAGTTTGCTTGTTTCTTTCATCATCATCACGGTGGCTTTGAGATGTTAACTACTTCTCCTAGTATACAGGAGGTCGTGGGTTCAATCCCGACCCTGACGACGCCTGCTACTGCTGTGTATTTGGAGTGTGTGTCTCTCTCTCGCCATGGTCGCGTGGATTTTTCTCCGGGTACTCCGGTTTTCCCCTCAACATTTAGAATCAACATCACCACGTGTTTAGAGTATTTGGCCGCTGTTATACATGAGCCACTTCTTTGAGGTCGCAAAGAACTACATAGCTCATTGGACCTAACCTGTGATAATAAAACAAAATAGTTTTGTTAAGTGTGTACGCCTTTTGGCGTCCTCTGGTCTAACACCGTTTGAGACGAGGCTCAAAAGAAAGCTGTCTCTGGTGTGGACCAATCAGTTTCAAAGATAATGCATATACTATCAGAGTATGTTACTGGTAGGAACCTCCTGGTTACACCAGCCCACAGGGGATTATTGTGTCCGTCGTGCATGGAGGGGCTGGGTGGAGAGGGAGGGGCGGGGTGGGGAGGGTGGGGCTGGGTGGGGAGGGGCTGGGTGGAGAGGGGCTGGGTGGGGAGGGGCTGGTCACCCCGTGGTGCCCTTATAAAACTCAACGTTTGACCTACTCACGCCGGCTTGTGCCCACCCTCACAGTCGGGCATATTTGCGGAATACACCACGCCGCCGTTGAGCCTGGCTATTGACCGAGCAACCCAACGTTCCTACCAGCTCCCTCCGCAGGAATGTGTGTTTTTTTTGCATTTTGACCACAAGTATTGGGCTTTCTTAATGCAATTGTTGTAATCAATAAGTGAGTATAATTTACTTATCTAGGAGAGCCACTCTGAGCTGTAGGACACTTTGCAGGAGGGTCCTGTGTTGGGTATTTAGTCTAACATGCTTTCAGACAACTAATGAAAGTTTTCACGTGGGAGGAAACGGGATCGCCCGGAGAAGACCCACACCTTTCGAGGGGCAACACTACACCGTACAGATGGAAACAGATACCGATGAGTCCACTTGCTGCCCTGCCTTCTGGCGAGCCAGTGCATGGCTCTACAACGCCCAAGGGGAGAGAGTTTTGCATTATTTGTGTGTTCCACCAACCCTCGCCTCCACAGTGCTGGATTACAGACGTGCGCCACCACCGCCAGTCTATTACCAACTCGTGTGAGAGGGGGTCATAGTACTGAGCAGACACTGCTGAGGTGTTGGGTTCGAATCCAGGCAGCTGCCTGCAATTAAACCGGCACCAGAACAAATGAGTATTTGAGATGATTGGTAAGAAAATCATTCTAGATGAAATTAGAAAATAAAAAACAATAAAATCTGTGTTTGGGACGTATCCAGTTTTGTCCAAATCAACTGCCCTGACCGATATGGTGTGGAGGGCCTTTTATTCCAGAAGTGGCTTGATAAAGTACTGTATAGCAGTTCATAGACCTCATTCCTCACCACTCATGCCAACCCAAGTTCTGCCAGGGAAACATGGTAATCCGAACCGTGTGTGTGTGTCTGTGTGCATTTGAGACTTGAGAATTCTGATGCTCTGCCCACCAGACCGCTCCATAATGTGTGTTTTGGTTTTCAGAGCATAATACCTGAAAAGATAGATACGGTGCAGCAGTCTGTGGTTTTCATCAAGCGCCTTATAGCCATAGCCATCTCCAACATCACCTACCTGCGTGGCATCTTGCCAGAGAAAGCCTACACAACATGCTACATTGACGGTACTGAATGGGACTAGGCGTTCGACTCGTTGACATTAAAAGTGCATTGCCTTATCACCTCCCTCGTGACATTCATCTGTCTCTCGGCATGACATCTGTTTTGGACCGTTGAACCATTTGGGTCTTCTGTACCAACATTATTTTCCAGCAGATATTGAATGATGAGGATTTACCCTTTCTGGCATAAATACACACGTATGTGTGGTTACGTAGACATGATGCTTTCGAATTGGTGTCTGTTTTGTATTTGAACATTTTAATACTTATTTTTACCCCATATAATATCTTGATGCTGGAAAACATTTTCTATAGTTATTATTCAGCAATATTTTTTAATGAACAAATTCGGTATCAGATTTGACGTTCTGGGTCTCATTACATTTCTTGGCCGCCACATCAAGAATGGAAAGTGGCTGAGAGGATGCTCACTGAGGAGATGCAGTGATAACATCGTATTCAGATGATAGTTGGATTACACTGGTCAACACTTTTTCTGGCATAAGGTATTCCAAAGGGTTTAATGTAATTTTGGGGTGCTGATTCCAAATCTGGCATCAGTTTTTGTCTCTCACGTCAGGTTTTTGAGATATAAAATATTGCATTTTCAATAAAAACTGCGGAAGAAAAATATTAAATAAATGTGGATAGCTACATAAATGATATTATAAACACACTATCTTAAAAATACAGCACCATATTTTAACACTAAAGCAGTCACTGACTCGCAACAACTTGAAATTATAAGTGACAGAGTTAATTTCGGGTAAAATCAATGAAAATGGGGTATGCCGATAGCATAAAAATGAGATGTGATAGAGCAAATCTGAGATCAGATTTGGAATCAGCACCCTGAAATTAGTCTAAAACAGCTGCAAAATTCCAGGTGAGAAAAAAATGTTTTTTTTTGTTGTCCAGTGTTATTACATCAAAGTATCGTGAGACATGGTGGCCCCTTGGGGATGCGTTCTTTCATTGATTTAACCATGGCTGATGATTAGTTTGATCTAGGCTATGATAGCAATCGTGATATTCGAAACGACGATATCTCATCGGTGATCATAAAGAATGTAGTGTAGTGTTACGTAACTCGGCAATATAAATATGTTGGTATGTAGGCACGGCAACTTTGGCTACCCTTGGGAATTTGTATCAAGACATTAAAAGACAGTGAATTCACAATTCAATAGCCTCTTCATTTACCAGGCAGTAGCTCATTGAAGCAAGCCGACTTTACGAGGGACATCTGGACAAAAGGCAATAAAGTAACAGGTGCTTACGTGTATCCGTGCAATCTTAATCCTCATATACTTTGGCTTCTCCCATGGCACATATTTCATATCGACTGCAGATCTTACCCTGAAGATCATCTGTGGAAAAACCTCCCTCCCTGGCGCCTGTCAGATTGTGGAATGGTAGGCTCGTTGATCTACATTGTTTCAAGTTATACGCAATACCCCCAAAAATACTGTATAGTTTACCTAGGCTGTCATAAGCTGTCCACCGCTACTCTATGAATTAATAATGAAGCAGTTATCTCTGACAGGATCACTTTAATAGCATAACTACAGTGACACTCCCAAGCTTAGTTCTTTACTGCAATGACCGTAACTTTAAAGTGTTTTTTTTTCCATCAGACAGTATAGGTTTAGTCAAGTGTTCCCATATGTTGATTCATCCGAAAATTTCGGCCGAGGTACAAACTTTTAGATTTATCTGAGAATACGACATCAGAAGAAGTGACGTCCCTCAAAAAGTGGTCTCACATGGCATCGGGTGGCATGACGTTTGGTTTAACAAATACACGTGAACTTATTACCAAATATAAATGGTCTGAGAATATGGAGAGAAACAAAAATTGTCCTTAAAATTCTGAAAATCCTATTTAGTTTTTATCCGAAAGTCCTTTCTAGCACATATACAAGAATTAAATCGCCTTTGCTTCTTAAAAAAATGCAAACAAATGTATAATTTTTGTAAAAATATTCATGCATTTTGTCAAAATATGCATACTTCCTTTTCAGGATGAAAGGATGTTATGATGCCCTTGAAAAGAATTACGTAAGCGACTGTCCACAGTAAACCTCTTTTTAACACCAGATGGCAGTGTTTCTCACATCACGCACACTTGGAAACTATTTGCAAACTGCATAATATTGAATCAAATTGCCCTTTTGTGTATTTCACCTCGATAACGAATGTAAGCTCATTAACTTTTTTCGTTTTTACAGCTCAGGATGATGGTTATCGCTGTAAGTAGTTTCTTGATAAACACACATTGTTCTAAGTGTGTTAAGTTTGTTGCTTTCCATAAAGGAGTTGTGTCATCTTCATCAGCTTAAAATGTGCTTTATTTTGACAGGTGTATCGTGATCCGCAAGACCCAAGCGTAAGTGTTTTTGTACATCCCATAAAACCACACTATTTTACGTGAACGTATAAGCATGCCTATGATCCCATAGAATTAGTGGTGGTGGTGCTTGCGCATCTGGGACCCTAAAAATACAGCATTCTTGGTGGGTCCCCATTTCGATTACAAACTCCTAGTGACATGACAAAAGAGATGGAAAAAATATAGATGTAGCAAGACGACACAAGGGAGGGACAGATGAAGCAGATGTAGTGAAATAAGGCAGATGTGTGGGATGACAAGAGCTAGAAATTTTATGAGATAAAAGATTATGGATACAAATGAGACGGATGGAGTGCAGTACGAGATGAAGACGAGAGAGAAAGATGGAGTTCTGAGAATATAGTTTCAATTTTGATTTGAAACTTTCGTGACTGCAGAAATCCATACTCTTTGGTTCTTTCGGTAAAGTCACGTGGGTAGAAAAATCATAGATCACGACGTTTGGATAGCAACACAAGCAATCGTCCTCAGGCAGTCCGCCTGCTGTATTGTTTCACCTGAGGACGATGGCTTGTGTTGCTATCGAAACGTCGTGATCTATTATTTTTCTACCTACGTGACTTTACCGAAAGAACCAAAGAGTAATATAGTTACAGGCAATTAACGATAGATTAATCAGTTTTTTTAATGGTAAATTAAAAAAAATTTGGTTAGCCCCTATTTTTTCATGAATCTCTGACCCCTTGTTTGCTTACGCTTACCGCCACCACTGGCTTGAGCACTAAAGGTCTTTGTGTTGATGAGACATCACAGCGTATTGAAATGTATCTCTCCACAGACGATCTTTGAGACCTACACCTTCAAGTTCGCATACACAGCTCTTGGGCCAACAATGAATTTTTGCAGGTAATTGTAGCCCCTTTTCTATCTCTTGAAATGTAACACTAAACAATTTAACAGTATATGCAAAACCTTTAAAACAGAAGGGCGTGCACATATCGATTGGTCCATAATCAACCGCACGGTCATGTAATCACCATGACCCACACGGTGTGGGGAGGCCCTCGTTCTGCAGTGGATTGATTAAAGCGCTGTGCATGTGTAGTGGGTTCTATTGAGACGCACGGATATGTTAACTACATCGCCTGGTAGACAGAAGGTCGTGGATTCGAACCAGACCCTGACGACACCTGCTGCTGTATATTTTGAGTTTGCGTTTCTCTCTCTCTCATCATCATCACGGTGGCTATGATATGTTAACTACTTCTTCTAGTATACAGGAGGTCGTGGGTTAAATCATGACCCTGACAATGCCTGCTGCTGCTGTATATTTGGAGTTTGTGTCTCTCATCATCATAATCATCACGGTGGCTAGGAGATGTTAACTACATCGCCTGGTATATAGGAGGTCGTGGATTCGAACCCGACCCTGACAACACCAGCGCTGTGCATGTGTAGTTGGTTCTATTGAGACACACTCTCGAGTATGGAGGCCACACATTTAATTCACTAACACAGCAGGTAAGTCGACACTCAACGGGAACACTGTATAATCAGCTGGGTCAGCTCACACGCCGCCCGGCTCTTGACGACTTGTCGCGAAGAGCGAGGATCGAAGACCTGGCTGGCGGATTCCATTTGCCTGGGACAGCACGACGACGACGGTGACCCCGCCGGCTTCTCCGCACCGGCTTATATCCGCCCCTGGCGTGGTCGAACTTTTACGGGGTTCTGGTTCCCCATCACGTGTCCCTCTCGGCCCCCTTTGGGGGGTACCCCTTCCAGCTCGTCCGGTCACATGTTCTCCTGGGTTCACCCAAAGGCCATGTCCGCACGCGCACTCTCTCTCACCGTTGCCAGGGCTATGCCCCTATAACACCCCATCACTGGGTACTGTGGCTGTCCTCTAGTGACATTAGTATGTCCCTACACATGTCCAGTGGTACCCGGGAGATCGAACTTAATTCGTTCCAGAAGGCCATTTGAACACCGATTTGTTCGAACACCGAATTAATTTTCCCCATAAGAATGAATGTAAATGGCATTAATTGGTTCCAGACACAAGACATCTCATTGTAAAGCATTTTTACACGGACTTTACAGTAATTACATGCATAAAATCATACAAATAAACAAGAAATACAATAAATAAACAGAGACGTTGTGTATGGATAAACACCAAAAAACACTAAAATAAAGGAAATTAACGAAAAAGTTCAGGAACGATGTTTTGCGGGTCTGCACTGGGTGAGAGCGAAGCGTTAACTGAGCCTCTCATACGGTACAACCTTTGTTTGGGCAAGCGTCATGCACGCTGGCCTTACACGTCTCAGCCGTACAGGTTCTTTCAAGTCGCGATTGCCTGTTCGACCTCCGGATTTCGTTCGGTTTCCGGGGCAAAAAATGTTGGGAAATATTGTTCGAACACCGATTTGTTCGAGTTCTGGTGCGTTCGATCTTCGAGGTTCTACTGTATATGTATGAAAGACTCAGCCCATGTTCAATACAGTTAGCTTCTGTATAAGAATGTTGATCTCTATGTACTCTGTGTTCCATTCTCATGGTTATGTCACTGCCTCGTGGTTATGCCTATTTTTATTACAGGTTTATTAAGTGGGCACCTCTAAAGTCTGATAATAATAACTTGGAATATTTTTCACAATTTTCGTTTAATCTAAGAGTGAATGATTGATAGGCGCTGGGAAATACAGATAAGCGGCAAGGCAACCACAACCAGTGGCAACAATTGCCCAAGCTCTTGTCCTATATCGTGATGTTTGGCCAACTCTATTCGTAAATGTTTATACATGTGGGAGTAAGCCAGAGTACTCAGAGAAAACCCATATGTACAGTATGCAGGGGGTAACACTCGATCCCCATACAGACAAATTAATTATCTTGTACTGCCAGGTGCTGGAATGCCAGGATACGGTGACCTCAACGCCCAGGGGTAGGGGAAAGAGTTTCACAGATTTGTGTGATCAACTATCCCTCACTTCCACTGTGCTTGATATCAGGCATGCTCATAGGTAATTGATATTTTATTTTTCTGTGCCAACAGTAGCAAGAAAAACATTACCTTCTCTATTGAAGAAACCAAGCGTGCCACGATATTGCTCATCCGCAAGTTGTTTGTGCTCACGCAGCACCTGGAGGAAATGCCGGCGGATGTGTCGCTCACAATGAAACTCTTTTACTACGATGAGGGTGAGCAGAGCAGTCCCGTCAGAACGCATACACTCGCGAAGACAAAGATCCCCCACGTTGCTTTTAATGGGCGGTTGATGCAAGTGCTGTTAGAAAACACCTCTAAAGACCGGCAAGATATTCACAAACTGCACTAGGTACTCATTTAAGAATGAGTGGACTTAGGGAAGACCCAGTATTTATCACATGCTGATAGTGAATAGGAATTGATCTCTGGTCGCCGGGTTCGTAGTGCAGTGTGCTGATCACAGCATCACCGCTCCCCTTAAAACACACAATAACAATTCGCCATGCACCACTAAATGATGGTGACATCTCCAGAGGACATGTGCCAGGTTGGGTGCACTTTGCGGCCACTTGAAGTGTCGAATGGTTCACTGGCAGATCACGGGACAGACCCGAGTGTTACGAGACGGGGAAGTTAGGAGAATGCTTTGAGGGGAGCGGAGTGAGATGAGTGGAGAGCGAGGAGAATGTGTTTGCAATAAACTGGCACACTGATGTTGAGCGGCCCTATCCTGTGCCGTGTAATCTCTGACAGTAACCCCAGAGGACTACCAACCACCGGGTTTCAGAGCGAGTAGCACAGAGCCCTTGCATTTCCATGGCGATCCAACGACTCTGCGCGTGGGGCACGTGGCCTCGGCCTTCCACTCGGTGAAATTGCGCATCACCGTGGACCGCAGTCAGCTGGACGATTATAACCCGGAGGAGGAGACGGGAAAAACGGTGGTGGGGAAAAAGAGGGGGGATAAGGACTTGCTGCAGCAGCGCTGCATGGAAGAGGAAGATAGTGACATCATGCAGGTGAGAACCGGCCGCAAGGACGTCACAGTAACAATCCGTTGTGCAACTTTGTTGCATGCAACTGATAGCTGATGCCAGTTGTAAGCAGTTGTGCAATTGGTTGCTACAACCCTGATATGGGTGGGGGAGGTGCGGTTATCCAGAAACATGTTCTCGGGTGATCATATGGGAGAATATAGCCGACACTTATTTTTAATTGCTTTGATTTAATCGTTAAAAATGTTCTCCAATTTTTTCCTGGTTGTGCTCTTGATGCCATGTCACAAGACCAAGCATCCTTTTGGGCCTCTCAGAGAACAAACACTGAGATCACTTCAAGCGACCTCTGGTCTTACATATACTAAAGGGCAACACTTGCCACTGATTATAAAAGTAATGTTCGTCAGATGATAGTCAAACTCCTATTTCTCAGCGCTGCAATTTTACCAAATTAAGTGTAGAACAAAATGTAATGTGATGGGTTTTTCTGTGCAGTCATTGGTAAGCATACTAAGACCATGAACTCATTACGCTTGAAGAAGTGGTTTAATCACAGGCCTGTATTCGAACCTCGGTCCTCGGAGGAGCCACCTCCTGTGCCCACATTGTATGATATGAGCTACACTTCCCACGTGTAAGGCATGAGCATATTTCAACAAAGCAACAGTCTCTATGTGATAGTAAAAGTAGATAAACATTATCACTTAATTTAAACTCTGACAATGGTCTTGCACACTGCTAGGTGGTCCCAGAGCTCAAGACTCCAGAGTTAAGGAAACTTACCAGCGGCGTATCCTTTGACCGGCCACAGAAGCAGGGTTCAAGTAAGCATTGTGCCTTACATCAGCATCTGCCTTCACAACTATAACGGCACAGAGGGTAACAATTGTGGGTGCGGGTCAGGGACAGGGGAACTCCACTTGTTTATAATGTTTCTATTATTGTATTTGAATGGCGAGTTATCGCCCATCTGCTTTTGCGTATCCCAGAGTGCAAACTCAGGGCTGCCAAACTCAGTCCTCCCAGTTTTGCGCGTGTGAGTATTTAACGCCTAGCGGGGGGGGGGGGGGGGGGTGTTGTGAATGTCACCCTTAAACAATGCCCTATTCATTTTAATAATGTGTAATACTGCCGCATGCTGAAATAGAATATGTTTTTTGTGTTGCAGCCAACACTGCTTAGCTTCCAGCTGGTGTCCGTGCTGGAGTCACGCTTGCAGAAACTCAACACTCATTACGAATTAGAATATATTAAACAGTCGATAGCAAAACAACAGCCAGTCTATTTACTGTTTAGCGTGGTGTCCAAATCCATTTTCCAACATCAATACCTCAATGACATGAAGCCAAGAAAGGGCTATTTTATGCTGACTTCTCTGCCACGTGCACCACGTGCTATACATTAATACGCGCTGATGGTGCACTTGTTGTTTCTGTGCGAAGTGGAAGCAGGTCCTAGAAATGCAGTCCATGATCTAGATGGTGGAAGCGAGGAAAATCGCCATGAGGTAGGGCGCCTAGACTAACAATGAGACAGACGCAGAGCTAAGTCGTACAGATGTTGCACCTTTCTGTGTGCAACATTGAAAACAAATTAACTGTCAATTCCCAGAAGCTTATGTGATGAAACATGTACGAATTAAGTGGTGATTTTATGAACTCCCCTAATATATTTCACCTTCAAACTGCAAATGATTCAAAATTTCACTGCCAGGCTCTGCACCCATTCTGATAAACGAGACCACATCATCAAAGTCCTCAGATTCCTCCACTTGTTCTCAATCCAGTCCCAGATCAACTTCAAGATCGCACTCACCACCGTCTTCAAGATTCTCCGGGCCTTCCTCTCCACTCCCCTCCACGTGCTCTCCTACCTCTCACCGTCTCACTCTACTCTGCCCACTCTCCTACCTCTCTTCTCACTACTACCCTCCACGGGCTGTCTGCTCCACTAAATATTTTACATCTTCCAGTCAACTTTCACTCAGTGGGAGGTCACGATTTCTCCTCTGCTGCCCCCACAGTCTGGAACTCCCTACCCTCACACATCCATGGTTCCAACTCCCATGTCCTTGTTTAAGTCCAGGCTCAAGACCATCCTTTTCTCGTTTGCCGATGACAGAATTCCTGATCCTTAAAAATAATACAGTATCCATGTATATTTTTCCTTTTCTCCATGATGCAAATGTCTCACTGTTTTTGTACAGTATCTTCAAATGTGTTTGCATGTAGACACCATATAAACGCAACTTGTATGGATTGGTGGAATGTAAGTGGATGCCTGTGTGGTATGAAGGACAACCCACTGGTTTCCAAAGCCGCAGCACTCTCCCTGGGCCATGACAGCAAGAGCCGCTCTGGACTCAGCCTCAGCAACAGAAAAAAGAGCCACAAGACCGATGTAAATGCTCAGAACTGCACCAAACAGTAAATTATCCGGTCACCATTATCCCCTTCATGAATACACGCATTGTCAGATGCCTGCTGCCTTGTGTCACTGCTTCCCGAAAGGACAGCCATATTCACAAATCGTTCTAAGTTGGTGGTCTACGCAATAATACAGACGTACATTCAGCTCTTCCGAGCTGGTGGTCTTGACAAGAACTGAGAGCATTGTTCAAGCAACATTGTGTGACATGCAATGCATGATTAGAGTTGAGCTTTACTGCTGTGTGAGCGCCACACACCTTTGTGTGTTGATTCTCGGTGCGTCTAGCCTTCATTTCCTGTTGTGTTGGGGTTTCTCATCATTTACAGAAATTCCCACCTCCGCCGTTTGAGCTTTACACCCAGCAAGACTCTGAACTTTCAAGACTTTTACTCACGAGTGATCCAATTGGAATTGTTTGCTTGAGTTTCCTGCCAAAGGGCAGGTATCTGGATCAACTTCCATTAATCCTATTGGACCTCACAACCCTCTGCACAGACCGCCCCCCACCACCACCCTCGTTATTGTGCGCTCCGCTGTAAGCAAGGTCAATGCTACAGAGGGCTTGCCTCTGCACCTTGCAGCACCACTGATTGACTAGGTTTCTTGAGCCAGCAGACAAATCATGATTGCCATTAAGAGCTTTGTTTGACAATCAGCAATCAGCAAAGTTAGCTGTTGGCAAGTGTTGTGAATGGCGAACCCCCTTCACGACGTTTAAGGTCCGTTGTCAATTACCCGCTGTCCTCTTCACTCAACGCGTCGGCCTGCACGACGGCGTTGCAGCCCAGCTTTGTGTTAGAGCCCGTCTACGTGGGTCGTTGTGAGACGGCTAAGTTATAGCGCATTTACTGGTTGTCGCAGTGGTTTGCATTGGAATTATCGGGATGATGCGTCATTCGAGGCGCCTTGAGATACTGGGGCATTAAACACCCAATGCGTGCAAATCCTTGTACGTCCAACTCCTTTCACACCGTACGTAGCCACCCGTGCTGGTGTAACAGTTGCGAGAGCCCCAGCTATTCCCAACCTCGGTAAAGCCCCCTCATGTGTTGCGCACAGACCACGACGACTGCAATGAAAAATCCGACCCTGACGATGCCAGACAAAACAATCCTGGAGGAGATCGGGGAAAGCAACCAGGGCGGCGTGCGGCGTAACCCAGCTCGTGCGGCTAAGAAGAGAGAATGCTTCCAGCTAGAGAACGTAAGTAAAGCGCATTACCTCGGTACTCGAACCTGCATCTTTTGTTGCTTCAGGGTTACCGTTTTCTCGAGTTTTGAAAAAAAAACCTGTAGTAATAGGTTTTTACCCTTTCAGCTGGTACAAAAACTGACACCTTGTACAAGGGATCATGTTTGCAATAACCACAACACAAGCAGTCCAAATGCAAACAAAAAGAAACAATGAGGATCCAATGGTGTAAATGCTTATCCCCAAGCTCTCATACTCTGATAGTGCATTGTCCTTGAGTTGTGCGCCTTTTGGCGTCATCTGGTCTAACACCATGTGAGACTAGGCTCTATAGAAAGCTGTCTCGGGTGTGGACCAATCAATTTCAAGGACAGTGCATACATTATCAGAGTTGTGTTTTTTGTTTGCATTCCGACTGCAGGTATTGTGGTCAATGCAAACATGACTCCTTGTAAAAAAGGTGTCCGTTTTGTTGCCAGATAAAAGGGTAATAAAACAATTATCAAAAAGAAACAACTCTGATAATGATATGCACTGTCCTTGAAGTTGATTGGTCCACACCCGAGACAACACCAATGGAGACTAGGCTCTAAGAAAAGTTGTCTCGGGTGTGGACCAATCAACTTCAAGGACAGTGCATATCATTATCAGAGTTGTTTATTTTTCTCTTCTTGGTTCCAAGAAGATGAATCCCTGCAGTCACGAAAGCTTTAAATCGAAAAATTGTTTATTTTTGTTTGCATTTGGACTGCTTGTGTTGTGGTTATTGCAAACATGATCCCTTGTACAAAGGTGTCAGTTTTTGTACCAGTTGAAAGGGTAAAAACCTCTTACTATATTTTGCCACTGGTAAAGGAGGTCTCATAGTGTAAAAAAAGAGTGTTTTGTCGTCGGGGCAACACGGTGTTTTTCTCAACAGCCGTCGCCCAGAAGTTGAATATGAATACCTTTCTTCACAATGGGAAGCAATGATTATTGTGAACGTCTGTTGGTGTCTTATAACCTCTTATGTGGTCATGTATTGCTATGGAGTTAGTGTCTTTTCGGAAGATGATTCTGACAACTCGGTTAAAACACGTCTCTGGGAAGAGAACGAAATGTAAAACTCACCACGCACACGATGGGATAACACTCAAAGGTGCACACAGATGGATTTACGAACCTACTTGCTAAGATAGCATCGTCTTGCGACCTCACAGTGACCCGGTGGGTGAGGGAGTTTCATAATTATTTGTGTGGTCCACCAACCCTCACTTCCAAAGCGCTGCATCACAAGCATTTGACACTATACCTGGCACCAATGGTCGCTGTGCCATGGCCCAAATGCCATTCCCACACCATCATTGTTTGAGAAAGGCATTAATCCGCTGCCCTTGGAGTGAACCGAGTCATTTAATCAGCTCAATTGGGCTGCGTTTAGTGTAATTGGTTGCTGCCGGTGGTCTTTAGCGCGCACCTCAAGCGGCTTCTTGCTAAAAGCCGGGGCCAGGGTTCCGTGCGTAACCAATCTGCGCGTCCATAATTATTAGACGTGCTTACCTTGAGCAGAAGAATTGATTTTAATGAACAAATCTGTGCATCGTTCATCATCATAACCCATTGTCTGCTGCTGGATGAAGGCCTCTCCCCGTTATCACTAATGGCCGAGTGCCACTACCATCCATCTCCCGCAGCCGATTGTGTCGCTCCAAAGCCGTGGCGGTCATCCTTCTGGACATGTTTTCTCCTTGGATTTCCGTTCTGTCACCAGTTTCGTCCAGGGACCATCATCCCGTCTGCCAATGATGTGTCACTCTCCAAACCTATTTACTTTCCTTAACAGCCAATACGTCTCCGATTTGCGTGATTATCACCTCTTGGGGACGTCATTAGCGGTTGTCCTATCGGCCTACTCTTCCCCATCATAGGGGCGAGCAATTTCTACCACGAGCTCAGGGCTGTCATTCGATCAGGACATTGTACTTTGACTAAACTCTTTGGTTCTTTCGGTAAAGTCACGTCGGTGAAAATAAAAATAATAATAATAAATAAATTAAATCACGACGCTTCGGAAGCAACACAATCCTCCGTCATCATGTAGGACAGCCACAGCAAGAAATTAAATTATTTCTAGAAATTGAATTATTTCTAGAAATAAAATTATTTCTTGCTGCAGCTGTCCAACCTAAATTAAATTATTTCTAGAAATTAAATTATCTAATTGAGTTATTTTTTAACACGTAGGCTTTCGCGACCAATATTATTCAATTAGTTATTTTTATCATTATTTTTATTTTCACCTCCGTGACTTTACCGAAAGAACCAAAGAGTATGGATCCTTGCAGTCACGAACACTTCAAATCTGTACCTTGACTGTTTTTATCATATCTCTTTGTTTCAAATCCATGTGCTCCATTGTGTGTCTCTGTGTAATTGCAAGCATTGTGCTCTCACTCATCACGGTGCGTGGTAACTCTTGGCAGGGCTACACCTTCAACGTATCTTGCAGCCAGGATGAAGAACCTCGCAGCAAGCTCAGCAGGAACAGCGAGCCCGACAAACGCTTTAGGCGTAGCTGCTTCGACTAAAGGCAGCGCGCCTCACAAACGCCTGGACCTGGGGCGGCCCTTTTAGAAATGTTTATGCCTCTTTTACACTTGCACATGTTGAGCTGTGGTGGAACCGTGCCGCGTTGCCTCAACACGGCCGGGTCGAGCCAAGCACGGGTTGTTGTTTTTTCCACCGCGTGAGCCGAGCCGAGCCGCTGTGACGGAACGCGCAATCCGCACGTGGAGGACGCGGCGACGTTCTGCGGGCTGTTACGGATTGACGTCGCGTGTGTTGCACGTGTCGCTCACCCCGCACTGATTCGAACGTCTTGCGAGGCGAGCGTAGCACGGCTCAGTTCGGGCTCAGCTCGGTAATATACCAGTGGAGAACCACCCATACCGTGTTGGCGCAGCTCGGGTGTGCAAGTGTAAGACGGGTATTTTGAAAGGAAAATAAGAACGATGTTTTTGGCGGTGACGGGGCCGAGTATTGCATCACTTTGTTAATTACACAGATTTTAATTGTTCTTTGTTGGTAGTTCGAGGTCACTCCCACTAGGTGGCGGGAGAGACCTACGCGTGGTTCAGCGCGATCCATTTACAGACACCCCGGTGAATAGAAATTCAAAACCGCAGCCCCTCAATGGCTCCCAATGCTGCTGGCGGAAGGACCTCCTCTCGATGGGGCTTTCGAGAGCTCCTCTCGAGAGTATGTTTGACCTGTTCTTCCACCCTGGCTGGACATCTCGTAAGAGGTGGGAATTTGCCCACACTTCATCACATGACCTAATTAATAATCGACTGACGATGTACCCGTCTATGCTGCTGGTTGCAGAGATGCACGCGGTGAATTTAAGAAACTTGCAACATGTTGTTTCAACTGTTGGGCTGAAATATGTAATCGAACCAGCGGCGGCCTATGGATTTCAGGTTCAATTTGCTATCCATTCTACCACCGCATCCTATTCGGAGATTGTTATTATTATTGAAACTAATACATTTGATTGCAATGCCTCTTACACGTCTCGCCAATCTCAATCAACGTGTTAAATTGTTTAGCGCTGTCCTGATACACTCTGCCCAACATAGCCGGTGTGATGCGTTCACAATATACAATGAAGCGTCAGCCGAGGTCATTCACGGGGCTTTTTAAATCCTTTATATTAAGTTCACTTGCTTGCGTGCTTGCTTGCGTGCTTGCTTGCTTGCGTGCTTGCTTGCTTGCTTAGGATCGTGAAAATCTTTCGGTCGTTTTTTAACCCACTTCCCGTGATCCAATCGAGCTGACATTTTGCACACAGACTCGTTGTGCGTGACAATTTATTTTCGTGAAAAAATGTTTCCAAAATTTTCCACTTTTTAGGGGGAAAAAATTTCATATTTAATTTAAAATACCAATGTGATAAAAATGAAACTCTTACTCAAGAAAATCAGAAATGAATAATAAAATAAAACCGATGCCACGCATATAAATGATTTATAGTGAAAAACTTAGTTTTTACGGGTTAATTTTTTTCTCACAATTTCCACCTCAAACCCAACTCTCAAATGTTTGGTGTAACCAGTTACGTACTGCGCGAGGATGGGGTGACGAGATGCCAGTGGAGTGTCTGTACGTGAATCATAATCCCTTTGGCTTTACTGCTATTTTCTAAACAATTTTCGTTTCTATATTGTCACAATGCAATTTGAACCATTTCAATTGTTAACGACGCTTGGTGTCTCAGTGATCGAATGAGTGAATGAGTGGTGAGTCCAAATCTTGACTCAGTTCATCATCTCTCCGGGGTAGATACAACTGTGGGGGGTTGTCGTGTGGGTAGGGTTCGGGTTACCCTCCGCCACATCAAAATTATTTTTACACCACTGGCCGAGAGGGCGGTAAACCTGAGGCGATGCTCACCCGTCCAGGAAACCACTTTGACTGTTTTGAGTATCATTATTGAGCAGCAGTTACGAGCGTTCAGAGTTTCTTGGTGTTTATTAGAAGGCGTTATGTTTGAAAGTTGTTGTAAGTGAGAAAGTTGTTTTTGTCGGTGGGCGAGTTGGCAGTCAGGGCTGTTTTCCGATTGGCGAAGCCGAAACTCTTTTTATATCAGATGTGATGGTATCGACAGCGGAGTGGATTAATAGGGGAGGGGAAAGAAAACCCATCGCAAGAAAGTTGTTTACTGCATGATAAAATTGAGTGATGGTAATTTTATCAAAACGATTAGCGTATTCTCCGCATTATAAATTGCAATATTTCCCTTTGCATTTTAATACAAGAGTTGTGGCTGAGTCTTGCGAACTGACATTAGTGTAGTAAGTCGTCGGTGTGTGGGCCACGTTTGTATGAAGTAACTGACACCGGGCAAACGTCTTTCTTTTGGGAGTCTTACAATGTGGAGAACACGGAATATTGTTTTTGTTATTACCACGAACTTCATTGTTACCCGTCTTGTTATTCCATGAAACCAGGGCCGCCTATTATTTCCCCGGCAAAATGGGAGTGCCTCTTAATCCTGTTTACATTTCCGACTGATTCTCGTGCGTATGACAAAGGGGCTGTGAATTTGATGGATTTGCCAAGCGGCGAGTCGCCGGGATAGACGTGTATTGAAGAACCGGTACAACTTTATACACAATACACGTCCACACACGCTTACACCACGTTCACACGCACGCAGAGGGATCATTGATTTAGACGAGTTGTTAGCTAACACCTGTATAATAAAGCAACACTATTTTGTCTCTCTGCATAAATATATCAATTAGTCAATCAACTTATTGCCTTTCCAGCCCAATGTTATCCAGCATAAAAAAAACGTAACATACACTGCCTTCATGAAAAAAACAACCCAGCCAATCGATATTATGCGCCATTATTTTGTTTAATAAAGAAAACTATGGACCGGTTTATACCTTCCGGGTCTCATGGGCAGTTGTTAGGCTTGTTCAACAAATGTGAGCTGCATTACCAAATGTTATTGGCAAGAGCGCGGAATTTAAAATATGGGACCCCCTGGTCGACGTACCAACGCACAATGAGTCTGTGCACTTATGCACAGATCTATATATCGTACATGTATGCATATGCACACGCATGGGCATATGCACACGTACAGCCATTCACCCACACCTCAATGCCTGGACATGCACGCAAGTATACTGACACTTAAACAAGCACATGCATGCATGACGACACGACAGATCCCCCTTATAGCCTGCATAGACTGTTGGGGCAAGTGCTGCTAGCGAGCACATGATGAAGGCCGATAGGGCTGTTTTGTGCACGACGTAACAAGGTATGTATTTAAGGCTGAGTCGACCTTGGGGAGACCTCGGACCGGTTTTAGATCGTACTCGCCGCTGTTGTTAGCCGTGGCCAGGCATCGAAATTGATTTACTGGGTTCGTAGCGCAGTGCGCTAACCACTGCACACGCACACCCACGGACACACAATATGACAACACTCTGTGTCCTTGTGAAGAACGGGATATTGTAAACGACAACACGACGTTTTCCATCGTCTTTACCATTGCTCTAGCCCTGACGCTATTCATAAAACTATCCGATTCGGCGATTTAAAACGTCAAATCCAACACGCACACTAACTAGCCCTATGCTCAACACTAACGCTTCCTAACACTACTATGAATACTCGCCCTCTTACGAATAATATCCCAAACACCAGTCCTAATACTAATCCCATTCCTAACATTGATCATATCCTCGGCACGAACTCTATTCCTAGCACCAGCCTCAAAGCTAAACCCTAGGACTTGCTATTCTAATTCCAGCCCGAACATTAACCCCTATTCCTATCCAATAGCCTTAACCAGTCGTAATTTTAACCCTACCACTAGCCCTATTCATAACTTGCCTAAACCTGGCACTTTCACCCGAGTCTTAGGCAACTCTAGCACTAACAATAACCTCATCGACGATGCTTACCCGCTTTCTCGGTCTGTGTTTAACCCTTGCTACGCAACCCTATCTTAAACGCCACTCATCCCAAAACGGAACTCTTATAGACTACAAGTGGGTGATGGTTCACAGCGTCTGTGAATAGATTCCCGGCCATGGAGAATAGCGGTCGATTTGTCCTGGAACGAGTATTCGGTGCGGTTTGTTAACATCAGCGTTGGGGAGACGAAGGCGGCCGGGCGTGGTGCTGGTCACCCGTGTGTGCCGTTCCGGCCTTCAGAGACGCTCGCTAACACAACTTGCCCCAATAGTCTAATAAGGCTATACGGGGGATCTGTGTCTCTTCGTCTTGTGTCTATGCAGTGTATGTGTGTGCTTGGTCGAAGTAGTGTACAGTATGTATAAGTGAAATACATTTCCCCAACAGTCCCTGCAGGCGATACGGTGTCTTTGTCTTATCTGTGTGTGTGTACGAGTGCATCTCCCTGCAAGTGTGATAACGCATCCATTCCCGACTGCAGCGCACACCGCCACAAAGATCTTGGAAACTTTTCTTCCCACCCTCCCTCACTCCCCTCCCCTCCCTCTCTCCGCCACTCGCCACGAACCCAACCCAACCCACCATCCCACCCACCGTCCCGAACCAGCCAAACACAATCCAATCCCTCTCACCCGTCGCCAACCCACCCCCTTCCTTCATGTGCACGACCGGCCCACACGGAGGGACACACACGAGAGGCGAGATGCCCTCAATATAGCGAGCGGCATCACCTCCATCCAACACAGCGGCTCGTGATCAAATCCTAGCGGTGGCGTTCCTTCTCGCCCTCCTCCTCCTCCTCTTCCCACCATAGCCACTCAACATTGTCCGACAGCTCGCGGTGACGAGGGTCGACGACGAGTAGGGAAGCTTCACATCGGCCGTAGATCTTCCTCATCAGCGTGTCGGCAACGCCAGCAATCATCATCGCATGCGAACTTTCGTGTCGCGGAGCCACGCAGCGTCACTGCTGGCTCTTCTCGACTTGAGAATTTGCTGTCAATAAGCGGCAGCGGCAGCAGCGGCGGCATCAATACCAACAGCTTTAACCACCACAGTGAAGATCACTTCTGCTGGTGGCGAGTCTACTGCTGTTGCTAATGTTAGTATATTGTGCTGCTAGTAGTAGTGTTAGTATATGCTGTTAGTGCTAGTAGTAGTGTTAGTATCTGCTAGTAGTAGTGTTAGTATCTGCTGCTAGTAGAGTTAGTATCTGCTGTTACTGCTGGCAGCAGCGTCAGCAGCTGCCGTGTGTGCTCGGAGTTGCCTCTGATCCGTTCGGGAGATTTAAATGGTGAGCAAGATGACTTTGGCCAGAACTGCTGCCACCATCTGCGCGGACGTGTTCTGCATCTTCTTGGGTGAGTGCAAACACTCTTCACACACACACGCGCGTGCACGTGTGAGGCACGGGGCGACCTGAATGTGTTGAACGTCGTCGGCGAATATCTTTGAACAGCGCCTTGAGACTCTCCCCAATGTCGATTGGGGCTTCGGATGAGTGTACACGACGCGGCGGCAAATGTATTCAAATATGCTGAAAATGCCCCCCCCCCCCCAATATATTGCTATAAAATAGATTTCTGTTTATATGATTGTGATTATGGTTGTACTTTATGAATCCCTAATCTCTGCCATTACATTACAATTAAACAAGAAATGGTAAAAAAGAAAAAACAGAGCAACGTAATACAATACACTATTAGACATTATTGTAAATTTTTAAAATTAATCCATCCCATGTGTTAGTAAAAAAATATATATTTTAGGCAGGAAATTCGTTTTTAAATATAGATTTTTTTTTCTGGGTCGGGACCACGAGACCCCCTGGAAGATTTGGTCCTCCCCCAATGTTGATTCCTGGCTACGGCCTTGTGGTGAAGTATGGTCACACGACACCCGAACAAATATGTCCGTGTAATGTTGCACGCATTGTGGTGGTGGTGGTGGTGCAGATGTACAACCAAATCACTCTGAAACTCGTGTCTCGGGAGCTAAGCAGACGTCGATTCTGGTTAACGCCGGGAAGGGCTGACTGCCCTGGCTTAGCAGCAGGTCTCGTCAGCGAGGCCTGCGAGCTGGCCAGGAGGTGACAGTGTTTTCCTGAATCTATCTGTGCGGAACTTATCACCCCGCACCCATAAAGCCGAACTCCCACTCCCCACGGAATCCATGGCCACAACATCCCGATGAAGCACGCAGCTCCCTCGATATTGAAGCAAAGATTGAAAATGCGTCTTGTAATCCGAAGAATGCGATGCATGTGCGTATAGTGTGAGGTGTGTGTGTGTGTACGAGGAGCGGTGGCGCAGTGATTAGCGTACTTCCCTGCGAACCTATGTAACGTACAAATGCGTTCGATTCGCGGATGGAATTCTATCGGAACCTTTCGGGGCCCTCCCCTAGGTCGACTCAGCCTCAAATGAGTACCCGGTGCGGTGTAAACATCGCCACTGGGGAGACAAAGGCGACCGGGCGTGGTGCTGGTCACCCACCCCCTCGTGTGCCGTTCCAGCTGTCATAGGTGCTCGCTAATAGCACTTGCCCCTCCAGTCTGTTAAGGCTACAAGGGGGATCTTTGTCTTTGTGCACGTGCGCAATTGTGTACACGCTCGTATGTATGTGTGTGTGCACGTGTGAATGTGTGTGTGTATGTGTGTGGGTCTGCCCCGTGACCTCCTGCCAGCGGGCGTTCGACACTTCACGTGGCCTCAAGGTGCACTTGGCCTGGCACAAGCGTCGTGGTGACGTCACCGCCACTTAGTGGCGAATGGCGGTTGTTGTTGTTGTGTATGTGTCTGTGTGTGCACGTGTGTATGTGTGTGTGTCTGTGTGAGTGTGTATGTATGTGTCTGTGTGTATGTCTGTGTGTATGTGTCTGTGTGTGTGTATGTCTGTGTGTGTATGTGTGTGTGTATGTGTCTGTGTGTGTGTATGTGTCTGTGTGGGGAGCGGTAGTGTAGCGGTTAGCGCGCTGCGCTATGAACCTGGCGACCCGGGTTCGATTCCCGCTCACGGCTAACACCAGTGACGATTATCTGAACCGGTCCTGGGCCTCCCCTAGGTCGACTCAGCCTTAAATGAGTACCTGGTGCGGTGTTGCAAACATCGCTACTGGGGAGACAAAGGCGGTCGGGCGTGGTACTGGCCACCCACCCCCCCGTGTACCGTTCCGGCCTTCATAGGTGCTCGCTAACAGCACTTGTCCCTACAGTCTGTTAAGGCTATACGGGGGATCTTTGTCTTTTTGTCTTTGTGTATGCATGTGTGTATGTATGTGTGTGTTTGTGTGTTTGTGTGCACGTGTGAATGTGTGTGTGCACGTGTGAATGTGTAACTGTGCACAGTGTTATGTCCACATGTGTGTAGCACGTGTGTCAATCTGTGTGTGTGTGTCTGTGTCTGTGTGTGTATGTATGTATGTGTGTCTGTGGGGAGCGGTGGTGCAGCGGTTAGCGCTACGCTGCGCTACGAACCCGGCGACCCGAGTTCGATTCCCGCTCACGGCCAACACCGGTGACGATTATCTGAACCGGTTCTGGGCCTCCCCTAGGTCGACTGCGCATCAAACGAGTAGCTGGTGCAGTGTGTAGTAAACATCGCCACTGGGGAGACAAAGGCGGCCGGGCGTGGTGTTGGCCACCCACCCCCTCGTGTGCCGTGCTGGCCTGCATAGGCGCTCTTTAACAGCACTTGCCCCTGCAGTCTGTTACAGGCTACACGGGGGAGCTTTGTCTTTTGTGCGTGTGCGTGGGGCGTGGTGCTGGCCACAGCCACCCACCCCTTCGTGTGCCCTGCTCCTCGCAACAAGCCTGGTGAAGGCGATACGGTGGAGCTTTCTGTGTCCACACGTGTGTCCCACGTGTGTCACACGTGTGTCACCGTCAGAATGCCATCGCGCGCGCGTGGGGAGCGGTGGCGCAGCGGTTAGCGCGGCGGTCCGAGTTCGATTCCCACTCACGAAGCCAGCATCGGTGCGCTGGCTGTCTTGAACCGGTCCTGGGCCTGCCCTGGGTCGACTCAGCCACAAACGATGCAATACAATCGGGGGAAGACAAAGGCGGTCGGGCGTGGTTGGTCATGGCTCGTGAGCCGTGCCTCCCAGCGGCAATAAATGCCAACCGCACTTGCCCCCGATTCCGTTGAAGGCTATACGGGGTGTGCATGGGGGGGGGGGGGAATTGTATCTTTGTCTTTGTTGGTGCTTTTCACCCAATTCGTACATCGCCCCCCACTGACTGTGACGCTGGGGGTGGTGGGGGTGGTGGTGGTGGTGGGAGTGGTGGGGGTGGTGCTGGGGGTAGTGGGGGTGGTGGCGGGGTGGTGGTGGGGTTGGTGGTGGGTGGTGGGGGTGGTGCTGGGGGTAGTGGGGGTGGTGGTGGGGTTGGTGGTGGGTGGTGGGGGTGGTGCTGGGGATAGTGGGGGTGGTGGATGGTGGTGGGGTTGGTGGTGGGTGGTGGTGGTGGGTGGTGGTGGGGTTGGTGGTGGGTGGTGGTGGTGGGTGGTGGTGGGTGGTGGGTGGTGGTGGGGTTGGTGGTGGGGGTGGTGGTGGGGGTGGTGCTGGGGGTGGTGCTGGGAGTGGTGGGGGTGGTGGTGGGGGTGGTGGGAGTGCTGGGGGTGGTGGTGGGGGTAGTGGTGGGGTTGGTGGTGGGGGTGGGGGTAGTGGTGGGGATGGTGGGGGGGGGGTTCGGCTCCCGAGATAATTGCATGACCTCACACAAATAAACACACCGCCAATGACACGTGACATGCGGATTAATTACCCCTCGGATAAACAGAGCCACGGGCCAATCGCTGGCGGCGGCCGCGTCCCCCAGCCCCCCCCTCCTCCTTAAATGTTGAACCCCCCTCCCCCCTCCGAGTGAGACGAGAGTAGAGATGTACACAGGAGATAAGCGATGTAGTGAGACGAGAGACGGGAGATGAGAAAAGTTCATTTGCATTTCTGGCCCTGCGAACTCGGTCACAAATTCACGATGCGGAGTCAGACTCTTTGTTTTAGACTCCGGGAGGAATGTGATGAGCTACGAATCTTTCTCTCCTTCACAGACGATGTCCACAGCAATAGCCCTAGCAATAGACTGCGCCCCTGCCGCAGGAACGTGGAATCTCCACCACTGGCTTCGGGAGACGTCCCCGACTCGGAGAAGTTGTCTCGAGGTCCCTGACCCGAATCACCGACCTCCCGGATTGTCAGACGAACTCTCCGACCCGAGTTCGATTCCCGCTCACGGCGAACACGGCTGACCATGACGTGAACCGGTCCTGTTAGGCCTCCCCTAGGTCGACTCGGCTTCAATACAGTAGCTGGTGACGTGGGTGTAAGCATCGCCACTGGGGAGACAAAGGCGGCCGGGCGTGGTGTTGGCCACCCCACCTCCCCGCTTGTGCCGTGCCGGCCTCAATGGGGCGCTGATCGCGAACAGCACTTGCCCCAGCGGCCCGTTTAAGGCTACACGGGGATCCTTCGTCTTTGTAACTTGACTGGAGCGTCTCTCTCCAGTCGGGAGAATGTTGCGAGTCAAAGGTCAAAGTGATTTCCTGCGCGCTCAAAGGAAGCATTGAGGGCATTGGTGCTCATCCAGTAGCGGTATGACGAGTTGAGGGGGGGAGGGGCAGGCAGGGGGGGGCTGCCTCGGCCCCCCCCCTCTCACCCCTGGTGGCCAAAGCTACGAGTTGCCCCCCCCCCCCCCAAGGATAACCACCGTGATATTTGTAATCAACAACAACAACAACGGTGTAAAAGGGCATAGAACTCCGTTACCGGCATATTGGTTCGACTGGGTACGCGTCAGCCACGTGGCAAAGAGGCGTCTCCCACTACGGGGCTGTGTGCAGATGTGAGAGGTCAGGGTGCCGGCGGTGGAAACTCCACGCTCCTGCGACGGGAGTTGGCGTCGTTGGAGGTCGAGATGGACGCAGCGAACTGGGGTGAGGTCACGTGCCCTCCCCCAACGACTCCGCCTCCCTGATTGGCTCAAATTAGGGGGGCGGTGACGGGACACCGGGGTCAGAGGTTAGGGGGCCTTTGTCGGCCATGCGTCATTATAACAACAACAACAACGACCATTTGAGTTTATACGACGTCTCGTGCCAACGCAAACAGAGTAACACGTAGAGGGGGGCTTACGCGACCAATATTACCCATAACGGGGGGGGGGGGGGGGGGAGTGGTTTGTTGGGTTAGATCGCGTCAATATCTAAATGTGTCGTTCAACCCGCCACCACCACCCAATTTAGTAAGGGGGTTTGGCACGTAAACGAAAACACGTGACCAAATTCGTTACTCGTAGAGCGCCACAAGGGTTGCGTGTTGGAGAGTGAAACCCACTGCGGCGTTTACACATCAACTACGGCGCTCGGCCAGGAGTAAAGACAGCAGTCTGATGATGGCGCGTTGATTACACGTGACAAACCTCACGAATTGGCGGTTCACGACACATATATTGACGACGCGATATTCCCCAAATACCCCGCTCCCCCGCCTCTATTACGGGTGAGCGGAGCAGCGTGGATCGCCCACGGACATTTCACCGTTCCGAAAAATAAAAATGTCGAGACCTCTCCAGCATCTCTACTTCTTGCGAAGAATGGAGGCCCGTTGCCCGGAACGTCGCCTAATGACAAGGCCGCACGCGCAGTGCTGCTGTTTGGTTCCTCCACCAGGAGGTGACGATCACTGCCCTGACTCTCGTTCTTCCACCAGGAGGTGACAATCACTGCCCTTGACTCTCGTTCCTCCACTAGGAGGTGACGATCACTGCCCCTGGTTCCCGTTCCTTCACTCAGGAGGTGACGATCACTGCCCTGGTTCCCGTTCCTCCACCAGGAGGTGACGATCACTGCCCCTGACTCCCGTTCCTCCACCAGGAGGTGACAATCACTGCCCTGACTCCCGTTCCTTCACCAGGAGGTGACAATCACTGCCCCGACTCCCGTTCCTCCACCAGGAGGTGACAATCACTGCCCCTGACTCCCGTTCCTTCACCAGGAGGTGACGATCACTGCCCCTGGTTCCCGTTCCTTCACTCAGGAGGTGACGATCACTGCCCTGGTTCCCGTTCCTCCACCAGGAGGTGACGATCACTGCCCCTGACTCCCGTTCCTCCACCAGGAGGTGACGATCACTGCCCTGGTTCCCGTTTCTCCACCAGGAGGTGACGATCACTGCCCCTGACTCCCCTTCCTCCACCAGGAGGTGACAATCACTGCCCCTGACTCCCGTTCCTCCACTAGGAGGTGACGATCACTGCCCCTGGTTCCCGTTCCTTCACTCAGGAGGTGACGATCACTGCCCCTGACTCCCGTTCCTCCACTAGGAGGTGACGATCACTGCCCTGGTTCCCGTTCCTCCACCAGGAGGTGACAATCACTGCCCTGACTCCCGTTCCTCCACCAGGAGGTGACAATCACTGCCCCTGACTCCCGTTCCTTCACCAGGAGGTGACGATCACTGCCCCTGACTCCCGTTCCTCCACCAGGAGGTGACAATCACTGCCCTGACTCCCATTCCTTCACCAGGAGGTGACGATCACTGCCCCTGACTCCCGTTCCTCCACCAGGAGGTGACAATCACTGCCCTGACTCCCGTTCCTCCACCAGGAGGTGACAATCACTGCCCTGACTCCCGTTCCTCCACCAGGAGGTGACAATCACTGCCCCTGACTCCCGTTCCTTCACCAGGAGGTGACAATCACTGCCCTGACTCCCGTTCCTCCACCAGGAGGTGACAATCACTGCCCCTGATTCCCGTTCCTTCACCAGGAGGTGACGATCACTGCCCTGACTCCCGTTCCTCCACCAGGAGGTGACGATCACTGCCCTGGTTCCTGTTCCTCCACCCAGGAGGTGACGATCACTGCCCTGACTCCAGTTCCTTCACCAGGAGGTGACAATCACTGCCCTGACTCCCGTTCCTCCACCAGGAGGTGACAATCACTGCCCTGACTCCAGTTCCTTCACCAGGAGGTGACAATCACTGCCCCTGGTTCCCGTTCCTCCACCAGGAGGTGACAATCACTGCCCTGACTCCCGTTCCTCCACCAGGAGGTGACGATCACTGCCCTGACTCCCGTTCCTCCACCAGGAGGTGACAATCACTGCCCTGACTCCCGTTCCTTCACCAGGAGGTGACAATCACTGCCCCTGGTTCCCGTTCCTCCACCAGGAGGTGACGATCACTGCCCTGACTCCCGTTCCTCCACCAGGAGGTGACAATCACTGCCCTGACTCCCGTTCCTCCACCAGGAGGTGACGATCACTGCCCTGACTCCCGTTCCTCCACTAGGAGGTGACAATCACTGCCCTGACTCCCGTTCCTCCACCAGGAGGTGACAATCACTGCCCTGGGCTCCTGTTCCTCCGTGCGGGCCAATCACCACAGCGGTGGCTTTGTGGAAGAGCCACCTGAAAAGGGGAGGTGGCGGTTTGCCAATTCGTTCGCATCGGCCACGTGAGTTATTGAGTTTACAGCGATGTCCTCCCGCGCGTGGTACCGATTTTGTTTTTTCTCTCTGCAGAGAAGGGCCAAGTGGGTGAGGGGCCAGACACCTTGAGCTGGGTTCGCGACCGGGCTACAGCCACGGTGTGCGATTAACCGCTGTTATTGTAACCACTGGAAAGCCTCAGTCATGAGTCTTTGTCAGGAGAGGCCCTGCTAGGATTCTGGCAGGAGGAGGCTTTTTTTATATGCGTGGATCCCACGTTGAGTGATTTTCTTTTAATAGACTCAGAGATAGTAGACGACTAGACTCGGTTCTTCAGTGGAGTGAGGGATTTTCGGCCCAGTCACCAATGACTGCACTACAGAAACACCACCAACACCACCACTAACACCACCACCACTACCACCACCAACACTACCACCACCAACACCACCAACACCACCACCAAAACCACCACCAACACCACAACCGACATCGACACTACCACCACCAACGCCACCAACACTGCCACCACCACCAACACTACCACCACCAACACCGACACTACAACCACCAACACCACCACCACGAACACTACCACCACCAATACCACCACCAACACCACCGACACCACCGACACCACCACCACCACCAACAGACAACCCCATCGCACTAAATTCGTGATTTCACATTTGGCAACATTCCAGCTCTGAGAGTGACAAAATGTTGGTTTAACCGTAAACCGCACCCTGCCGCACACAAAGACAAAGATCCCCCGTATAGCCTGAACGGACAGTTGGGACAAGTGTTGCTAGCGAGCCCTTACGAAGGCCCACTCGCACACATTCACAGTCCCGCGGGCACTCGTAGCCGAAGGGTCCCTGCGCTCAAAATTGCCCCGTGAGTTTGGGACATTTTGAGGCCACGGGTCAGTGGTGCTCATGGCTAGGGGTCAGAATAACCGTGGGCCAACCACAGCCGCATCGCCTCTACATAACAAAAGTCTCAGTCCCTTTTACACCTTTACATCATCCGTACCTAGTTTACACAACAAAGGCTCATTCAATGGACGCGGCAATGGACGCGTTCTTGCCACCAGTGGGGGGGGGGAGGGGGGCGATGACGTCGCTGCTTTTGTTCCCGATTTGAATTCACAGAGAGATTCAAGTCTGCTTTGACCCCCCCCCCCCCCCCCCATCTCTTCAAAGTGGCCTTTACCTTCTAAATTTGGAGTTTTCGTCACTGCAAGAATCCAAACTCTTTGGTTATTTCGGTAAAGTCACGTAGGTGAAAAATAATATATATATATAAAAATAATAAATAAATAAATCGCGACGTTTTGATTGCGACACAAGCAATCATCATCAGGTGTGAAAACCACAGCAAGGACATTTTTACTCTCCCACTTCAGTAAAAATGTCTTTGCTCTAGTTGTCACACCTGATGATGATTGCTTGTGTTGCAATCGAAACTTCGCGATTTATTTATTTATTTATTTTCACCTACGTGACTTTACCGAAAGAACCAAAGAGTATGAGATTTCCCTCTCTAATTTGGTCCATTGCCCCCCCCCCCGCCGCCTCCGGTTCTGTTTTTGTTTCATGCATTGCGCATTTGGGGGGGATCCGAGGATGGAAGGCCGCATAGTGCGTTGACATTTCTATCGCTGTAAGAATAGTTCGTACCGGTAGGAACCTCCTGGTTACACCAGCCCACAGGGGATTATTGTGTCCGTCCGTCCGTCGTGCATCCAAAAATGGGAGGGGTGGGGCTGGGTGGAGAGGGGAGGGTGGGGAGGGGCTGGGTGGGGAGGGGCTGGGTGGGGAGGGCTGGGTGGGGAGGGTGGGGCTGGGTGGGGAGGGGCTGGGTAGGGAGGGACTGGGTGGGTGGGAGGGGCTGGGTGGGGAGGGGCTGGTCACCCCGTGGTGCCCTTATAAAACTCAACGTTTAACCTACTCACGCCGGCTTGTGCCCGCCCTCACAGTCGGGAATATTTGCGGAATACACCACGCCCTGGCCGTTGACCCTAGCCATTGACCGAGCAACCCAACGTTCCTACCAGCTCCCTCCGCAGGAATGTGTTACCCTCTCTGGCAATACAACAATTTGTGTTAAGATGTTAACGCGCCAACCTGAAACCTTTTGCAAGGAATCCTGTCACTGCATTCACCACACAGACTCGTGGTGAACATGCAAAACAAACTGCAATGCTTTGGTGGTGTATGATGATGCATTATCTTTGTGCTGTACACCTTTTGGCGTCCTCTGGTCTAACACCGTTTGAGACGAGGCTCTAAAGAAAGCTGTCTCTGGTGTGGACCAATTAGTTTCAAAGACAATGAATCATCATAAACCACCAGAGCATTGTAGTTTTGTTTGCATGATCACCACGGGTCTGTGTGGTGAATGCAGTGACAGGATTCCTTGCAAAAGGTGTCAGTTTGGCGTGTTAACATCTTAACACAAACTGTTGTATTGCCAGAAAGGGTAAAAACCTATTCTTATATTTTGATGCTGGCAAGGGAGGCCCCATGATTGATATTATCGTCGCTGGAACTTAAATTGCTTCTTTGCCACCTTGCTGAGCGACTCTTGCAAACGAGGGAACGCTTCCGTGCCCGGGTCTTCCGAGTTTTTCTCTCGCGCCGTGGGTCCATCGTACACCAAAATAACAAACAAAAAAGTCAACTCGAAACTCGACAATTTGCCGCGTAATCATCCCGGTCGAGCAATTTTTTCGCGGAACTAAATGTGTTTTTTTTGATCGCACAAAAAATGACCATCACGATGCCTCCTCCTCCTCCTCCTCCGCCAGCGTTCCTGCCGGTCGCGGTGCTCTACCTGTCGGGCGCGGCGCCGTTCCAACGCGGCTTCTTCTGCGACGATGCCACCATCGCGTACCCGTACCGCGACAGCACCATCAGCAGCGGCACGCTCATGGCCGTGGGCTTCAGCCTCGCCCTGCTCAGCGTGAGTGGACCACCACCAGCGCCCTACACAACCTGCCCTCCCCCACCAACAGAGCGCAAGCCCCGGGCGCCGGTGCCATCGCTAGCGCCGGCGTTCGAGGTTGTGTGCACGTTGAACTTCTTTCGCACCGTACGTAGCCGACCGTGCTAATCGGTTCTAACGGAATTAGTTTTCAATCTAGATGATTTAAAAGTGATTTGCTTATATTGGAAGGAAGAACGTTCCAGACGGCCGCAGAAACGCATTTGAAAGCACGCGCTGCAGTGACCGTCCACTCAGCGGTACAGCTCTTTGTCAGAAGCAACCTGGCCACAAAAGATGGCTCAGCCAAGTGGCTTATCGCGTGGAAATGTAAAACATCAAAATGCTCTAGACGCGTGTGACGTCGCTTCTTAACGCGGAGGGGAAAACCGACGGACACGGAGAAAAATTCACACGGCCACGAAGAGAGAGACACCGCAAATTCCAAATATACAGCAGCAGCAGCAGGCGTCAGGGTCGGGTTCGAACCCGCGACCTCCTGTACACCAGGCGAGGTAGTTAACATCTCCGAGCCACCGTGATGATGGTGAGACACGAGCCGTGGACTTTCAGCCTTGGCCCTGCTGGGCGTGACCCTCACCGCCACCCACAGCACGTGACCCTCACCGCCACCCACACCACGTGACCCTCACCGCCACCCACACCACGTGACCCTCACCGCCACCCACACCACGTGACCCTCACCGCCACCCACACCACGTGACCCTCACCGCCACCCACAGCACGTGACCCTCACCGCCACCCACACCACGTGACCCTCACCGCCACCCACAGCACGTGACCCTCACCGCCACTCACACCACGAGACCCTCACCGCCACCCACAGCACGTGACCCTCACCGCCATCCACATCACGTGACCCTCACCGCCACCCACAGCACGTGACCCTCACCGCCATCCACACCACGTGACCCTCACCGCCACCCACACCACGTGACCCTCACCGCCATCCACACCACGTGACCCTCACCGCCACCCACAGCACGTGACCCTCACCGCCATCCACACCACGTGACCCTCACCGCCATCCACACCACGTGACCCTCACCGCCACTCACACCACGTGACCCTCACCGCCACCAACACCACGTGACCCTCACCGCCATCCACACCACGTGACCCTCACCGCCACCCACATCACGTGACCCTCACCGCCACTCACACCACGTGACCCTCACCGCCACCAACACCACGTGACCCTCACCGCCACCCACAGCACGTGACCCTCACCGCCACCAACACCACGTGACCCTCACCGCCACCCACACCACGTGACCCTCACCGCCACCAACACCACGTGACCCTCACCGCCACCCACACCACGTGACCCTCACTGCCACCAACACCACGTGACCCTCACCGCCACCCACACCACGTGACCCTCACCGCCACTCACACCACGTGACCCTCACCGCCACCAACACCACGTGACCCTCACCGCCACCCACACCACGTGACCCTCACCGCCACCAACACCACGTGACCCTCACCGCCACCAACATCACGTGACCCTCACCGCCACCCTCACCATGGGAGCAGCAGTGGCCCGGCTCGGCAACGTGCCGGCCCGGTGCGGCCAGAACAGCCGTGACCCGATCCCTCCCGCGTGTCTCCCCAATCTCTCCCCAATCTCCATCCTCTCCCCTCTCATCTCCTCCCTCCCATTCCCTCCCTCCCATCCCCTCCCCTCCCTCCCATCCCCTCCCTCCCCTCCCCTCCCTCCCATCCCCTCCCTCCCCTTCCCTCCCTCCCATCCCCTCCCCTCCCTCCCATCCCCTCCCCTCCCTTCCATCTCCTCCCTCCCATCCCCTCCCTCCCTCCCATCTCCTCCCTCCCCTCCCCTCCCTCTCATCCTCTCCCTCCCTCCCCTCCCCTCCCTCCCATCCTCTCCCACCCCCACCCCCTACACCAGATTGCGTGGGGAGAGTTCGTGAGCGTCCGCTACGGAGGGGATCGCCCGTGCTCCTCCTCCTCCTCGTCCACCGCCACCTCCGGCCCCCCGGCGATGTCGGGGGGAGGCCCCCTGCGGGACCCCCTCGCGGCCGCCCTCTACGCGCGCATCGGCAGCTTCCTGCTGGGAGCCGCCCTGAGCCAGGCGCTCACCGAGACGGCCAAGTTCAGCATCGGGCGCCTGCGGCCGCACTTCCTGGACGTGTGCCGCCCCAACGCGACGGCGCTCGGGGCCGAGTGCGCGGCCCACGTGGGCGGCACCCCCAGCTACGTGCAGGGGGAGCTGTGCACGGGGGAGCCGCACGTCATCCGAGAAGCCAGGTACACGCGCGTGTGTGCGTGTGCACGTGCGTGTGTGCATGTGTGTGTATGCACGTGCGTGTGTGTACGTGCGTGTGTGCGCACACGTGCGTGTGTGTGTGGACGTGCGTGTGTGGACGTGCGTGTGTGCACGTGCGTGTGTGTACACGTGCGTGTGTGCACGTGCGTGTGTGTGTACACGTGCGTGTGTGTGTGCACGTGCGTGTGTGTGCGCAGTGACGATTATCTGCACCCGTCCTGGGCCTCCCCTAGGTCGACTCAGCCTCAAATGAGTACCTGTTGCGGTGTGTAAACATTTCCACTGGGGAGACAAAGGCGGCCGGGCGTGGCGCTGGCCCCCCATCCCCTCGTGTGCCGTGTCGGTCTTCATAGGCGCTGCTCGCTAACGGCACTTTGTGGTGCACTTAGCCTGGCACAAGTGCCGTGGTGACATCGCGGCCGCTGGGTGGCGAACGGTGGTTGTTGTTGTTGTGGGTGGGGGAGGATTGGGTGGCTCGCTTGAAGCGTCGAAGGCTCATCTGCCGGCAGGAGGCCACCGGACACAGACCCCACGGACTCGTGGCAAACACTTTGCGTGGCCTCTCCCAAGAGCGTCGCAGACAGTGGAGTGTGTCCCGGCCTCCTGATGGGAAACGATAACGAGCGATGGGGCAAGCGGCCTCGCTCCACTCTGCATCACCCCCCTCCTTCCTACTTCTCCCCTCTCGGGATGTCCTCCCTCACCCCACCGTCTCAGCTCGCCATCTCGAGCACAATCCACCCACTCATCTTCTCTCGAAGTGCGTCCCGTCTGTGTCTTCACCATCCCTTCGCTCACACCCATCCATCCATCCATCCCTCCATCCCTCCATCCCTCCATACATTCATCCGTGCGGCGTGACGCCAATCTCCCCATCCATCTGTAGCTCGCGAGTGAAATGTTTCCCTCCACCCTCTCCCCCTTCCCTCGCAGCCACGAATCCCTCCCTCCACACATGCACGCCTCCTCCATACGTCCATCTCTCAATCCGTCTGCAGCTGAAGCAGATTCCCTCCCCTCCTCCCATCGATCCTCCCCTCCATCCATGCACCCCCCATCCATGGCATCCATCTCTCCCGCTTCTCCCATCCACTCACCCAAACATTTCACATTTCAAGAGTGGACGGGGGGGTGGGTGGGGGTTTCCCCCTTCCGTGGCTGGCCGTCTGGTTGCGTCATCCCTGGACGATCGTGCCAATGCCCCCCCCCCCCTCCAAGCTCGCGCGGGGGTCACGTGGTCACCAAGATTCCTTCTCAGCGAACGGAAAAAAATTTCCTCCTTCCACCACAACAAGACAAAGACCCCCCCCCCCCCGTGTAGCCTTAACAGACTGCTGGGGCAAGTGCTGTTAGCGAGTAGCAGCGGCTATGAAGGCTGGCACGGTGCACGAGGGGGTGGGGTGGCCTGCACCACGCCCGACCGCCTTTGTCTCCTCAGTGGCGATGTTTTTTTTACGCACCGCTCCCAGGTACTCATTTGAGGTCGAGTCGACCTAGGGGAGCCCCAGAAATGGTTTAGACAGTCGTCACGGGTGTTGGTGGCTGTGAGCGGGAATCGAACCCGGGTCGCCGGGTTCGTAGCTCAGCGCGCTGACTAGTGACCACTACACGACCGCTCCCCACACACAGCGCCACACACACACACACACCACTCACACACACCACCACTCACACAGACACACATACCACTCACACACACACCACCACCACACATACACACACACCACCACACACACCACACACACCACCACCGCACACACACCACACACACACCACTCACACACACAGCACTCACTCACACACACCACACACATACCACACACACCACCACCACACACACACATCACACACACACCACACACACACACCACACTCACACCACACACACACCACCACACACACCACACACACCACACACACACCACACACCACCACTCACACACCACACACACACCACACACACACCACACCACACACACACCACACACACACCACCACACACACCACACACACCACACACACATCACCAGCTGCACGGCTTGCTGTAGAGGCAGCACAGCGTGTGATGGATAAAGATCGTGACCACAGAGGGCAGCGTCCTTGTCCCCTCGTCACTGACCCCCTCTCCCTCCCCCTTATCCCCTCCCCTATCCCCTCGCCCTCCCCCTTATCCCCTGTCCCCTCGTCACTGACCCCCTCTCCCTCCCCCTTATCCCCTCCCCTATCCCCTCGCCCTCCCCCTTATCCCCTGTCCCCTCGTCACTGACCCCCTCTCCCTCCCCCTTATCCCCTCCCCTATCCCCTCGCCCTCCCCCTTATCCCCTGTCCCCTCGTCACTGACCCCCTCTCCCTTATCCCCTCTCCATCCTCTGTCACCTCTCCATCCCCTGTCCCCTCCCCTATCCCCTCTCTCTCTCCCCCCCCGCCACAGGAAGTCGTTCTACTCGGGCCATGCCTCCTTCTCCATGTACACCATGGTCTTTCTCGCCGTGAGTACCCGCAAAACAATATCATCAAACACAACAACAACAACATTATCAACCACAACATCAACAACCACAATATCAACCACAACACCATCAAGCACAACATTAACCACAACAACAACCACAATATCAACCACAACAACCACAACATCAACCACAACATCAAGCACAACATCAACAACCACAACATCAACAACCACAACCACAAAGTGGCGGTGACGTCACTATGGCACTTGTGCCAGGCGAGGTGCACCTTGGGGCCACACAAACACAAGACAAAGATTCCCCGTGTAGCCTGTGACTGTAGGGGCAAGTGCTGTTAGCGAGCACCTATGAAGGCCGGCGCGACACACGAGGGGGTGGGTGGCCAGCACCACGCCCGGCCGCCTTTGTCTCCCCAGTGGCGATATTTGCACACCGCACCAGGCACTCATTTAAGGCTGAGTCGACCTAGGGGAGGCCCACGACCAGTTCAAATAATCGTCACCGACGGTGGCCATGAGCGGGAATCAAACCCGGTGGGCCTGGTTCGTAGCGCGCTGACCACCACACACACCACGTGTACATCTGTGTTAAAGAGCTTCATAGCTCATCGGATTCCTCCTGCAGTATAAATATTCTGTTAGAGAGCGGTTGCCCAGGCGACACTGCGCGAGGTCACGTGGGAGGGGGTTCTAATCCGAATCACAGGTTAACTCAGCCCATCATCAAATTGCCTCAAGGGTTGTTAAAATCGAGTACCATTTTGTAGGTGAGAAATGGTTGTGGGGGAAGCGCGTGCCTCCAGTGCCTCGGGGGGGGGGGAGTGGTGTGGACATTCCACATTGCCATGACAAGGCCAAGTTAGCCACTCGCAAATCACCCAGATTGGAAACTCATTCCCTTAGAACTGCTTTGTGCGTCCAGTTCGTTGTCCCTTCCTCCGCGCACCTTCGATTAGCACGGCTGGCCACGTACGGTGCGAACGAAGTTCAACGTGAGCGAGCGAGAGAGCGTGAGAGCGTGAGAGAGAGCGTGAGAGTGAGAGTGAGAGAGCGTGAGAGTGAGTGAGAGTGAGAGAGCGTGAGAGTGAGTGAGAGTGAGAGAGTGAGAGAGCGAGAGCGAGTGAGAGAGCGTGAGAGCGAGAGAGAGTGAGAGAGCGTGAGAGCGAGAGAGCGAGTGAGCGTGAGAGTGAGTGAGAGCGTGAGAGTGAGCGTGTGAGAGCGTGAGAGAGTGAGAGCGAGAGAGTGAGAGAGCGTGAGAGTGAGTGAGAGTGAGTGAGAGTGAGAGAGCGTGAGAGCGTGAGAGAGAGCGTGAGAGTGAGAGTGAGAGAGCGTGAGAGTGAGTGAGAGTGAGTGAGAGTGAGAGAGCGTGAGAGCGTGAGAGAGAGCGTGAGAGTGAGAGTGAGAGAGCGTGAGAGTGAGTGAGAGTGAGAGAGCGTGAGAGTGAGTGAGAGTGAGAGAGTGAGAGAGCGAGAGCGAGTGAGAGAGCGTGAGAGCGAGAGAGAGTGAGAGAGCGTGAGAGCGAGAGAGCGAGTGAGCGTGAGAGTGAGTGAGAGCGTGAGAGTGAGCGTGTGAGAGCGTGAGAGAGTGAGAGCGAGAGAGTGAGAGAGCGTGAGAGTGAGTGAGAGTGAGTGAGAGTGAGAGAGCGTGAGAGCGAGTGAGAGAGCGTGAGAGTGAGTGAGAGTGAGTGAGAGTGAGAGAGCGTGAGAGTGAGTGAGAGCGTGAGAGTGAGAGTGCGTGAGAGTGAGTGAGAGTGAGAGAGCGTGAGAGCGAGTGAGAGAGCGTGAGAGCGAGTGAGAGAGCGTGAGAGTGAGAGTGCGTGAGAGTGAGTGAGAGCGTGAGAGTGAGCGTGTGAGAGCGTGAGAGAGTGAGAGAGTGAGAGTGAGAGCGTGAGAGTGAGCGTGAGAGAGCGTGAGAGAGTGAGAGAGTGAGAGTGAGAGCGAGAGACAGTGAGAGAGAGTGAGAGCGAGAGAGAGTGAGAGAGTGAGAGTGAGTGAGAGTGAGTGAGAGCGTGAGAGTGAGCGTGTGAGAGCGTGAGAGAGTGAGAGAGTGAGAGTGAGAGCGAGAGAGAGTGAGAGAGAGTGAGAGCGAGAGAGAGTGAGAGAGTGAGAGTGAGTGAGAGTGAGTGAGAGCGTGAGAGTGAGCGTGTGAGAGCGTGAGAGAGTGAGAGATTGAAAGTGAGAGCGAGAGAGAGTGAGAGAGAGTGAGAGCGAGAGAGCGAGTGAGCGTGAGAGTGAGTGAGAGCGTGAGAGTGAGCGTGTGAGAGCGTGAGAGAGTGAGAGCGAGAGAGCGAGAGAGCGAGAGAGTGAGTGAGAGCGTGAGAGTGAGAGCGTGAGAGAGTGAGTGAGCAAGAGAGCGAGTGAGCGTGAGAGCGTGAGAGTGAGCGTGAGAGCGAGCGTGAGAGAGTGAGAGCGAGAGAGTGTGAGAGCGTGAGAGAGTGTGAGAGTGAGCGTGAGAGCATGAGAGCGAGTGAGCGTGAGAGTGTGAGAGAGTGAGAGAGCGTGAGAGAGTGTGAGAGAGTGAGTGAGTGAGCGAGAGCGCCGCTTTTCACGAGCGCCGGTTTCCTGTTTGGGTCGGAGGAGCATCTGCAGCTGCAACAGAGACGTCTCATCCATCCCCTTCATCCCCTCCATCCCCTCTCCTCCATCCCCTCCATCCCCTCTCCTCCATCCCCTCCCGCCCGCTCGCCAACACCACCGCCTCGGAGTAGGCTCGGCACACGCTCTCGCAAAATATAAATAAACACGCAGCAACTTCGACTCAAAAGCTGAAGCAGCTGCTGCTGCCGGATGAGAGCCACGAACTCGACAAATGAGCGACTGAGCAAGCCGGAGAGAGCAGTCGGGACGTGGTGCAGCGTCGCAATGGAAGAGCGGGAGAACGAGAGAGAATGAGAGAGCGAGAGAGAGCGGCGAGACGGGCTGGGTGCAGATGCAGCACTTGCCGTATTAAAACATTACGTAGAAAACAGGGGGGCATAGACATAGAGGGGGTAGAGAGAGAGAGGGGGGGTAGAGAGAGGGGGGGTAAGAGAGGGGGGGGGGAGAGGGGGGTAGAGAGGGGGGGAGAGAGAGAGAGAGGGGGGGTAGAGAGAGAGGGGGGGGTAGAGAGAGGGGGGGGGGGGGTGAGAGAGAGG